CCACCCTTATTTTAAAATGTGGTGCTGAAGATTAGAGCGCTTGCCAAACACTGTGGAAACACTTAATTGATTTCCTTTGGACTGTTTACCTCTACTGTAGCCCTCCTAGAGCCCAGCACTCGCTCGCACGCATGCACACACAAACACACACACGTAGAGTACAACCCTGGCCCCATTGACGCCAACACAGGCCTGCCAAGAGCCTCATTAGTATTCACAGCAGTGGCATTTGCCAGCCCGAGCGTTGCCGTGGTGATGCTGCCCACACAAGTGATGATAAATGGTGCTTTCAGCTTCTCTGCCTTCCATAGAGCAGAGCAGGGAGCTGAGGAGTTGCTGGCTAGGACCCAGCTACAGCCATGGCTAGCAAGGCCTCATCCCCAGCACCAGGCAACTGACGCATGACTACACAAGCTTGGGGCTGCTTGAAGGCTTTGGGTGCAGGGGAGTGGTGGGTAAGAGGGGTTTGGTGCCGTGTGGGTTGTGTGTGCGGATATGGAGAAAAGAGATTTAGGTTACCCTGTGTGTGTGTGTGTGTGTGTGTGTGTGTGTGTGTGTGTGTGTGTGTGTGTGTGTGTGTGTGTGTGTGTGTGTGTGTTGGGAGAGAGGGAGGAGGGAGCATGTTGGAAAGAAGTGTGTGCTTGAACTTGTTATTGTTGGCTGAAAAAGTGATGTCAGCTTCAGTGTTTCTCGAGTGTGTTTTGTTCTCTGTATTTTTCAGTTATATGTTAATCTGATAGTTAGTGACGTCAAATATCTGACTTAAAAATCTCTCAGATTGTACTTTGGTATTGTTGACTCCTACATATGTATGTAAACCTGAAAGTAATTTTTTTTTAAACCTTGTGATTAAAGTATTATTGCCTATAAGCCACGGGGAAACACAGTTCATTTGTTTTAGTATAAAAATGGGTTTTTAATTTAGGCAATACACTAACATTAACACTCTCACAATTATCAAAGAAACTGTCACAATTACACTCTCCTTTAATAATTAGAAATCATGTTTTGGTTGACGCTGAATATACACATACTATTTATTTTAAAGACAGCTTTGAAAATATTAGGGTCTTACACACAAAAGTGTCATTTGTAACTTTATTCATCTATTTAAATAAAAACATTCTGTCAAAAATAATACAATTCTATTAATGAATGAATCCTCACTGGAATGAACATACCATTTTAATGTTAATCCAGTGCTTGAGGAAAGACAAACGTGTTTAATACTCACCATGCACTACAGCAAAAATAAGTGATTATTGTGTGAATAATTGTTTGCTAAACTCACTCCTCTTCTGAACAAATTCAGCGTCAAACTGATATCGGAGCCACTGCAGGCTGATTCAGTCCCTCTCCTGTTTGTTTTATTGCAGGTGTCACAGCGAGGACTGTTTGAGCCTTAAATCAGCGTAGACAAACAGAGGGTTAAGGTATCCGGCTACACTTGCCTTCCCCAGAGCCCACACATACAGATGTGTAAGCAATGAGGACGAGGAGGCTGGGCTGAAATCCGCCTGATCCTAGTTAAATAGAGAAAGACGGTGTTATTCCCACATTATGGTGCACCGATACAAAGCGCATTAAGGGCCTGGCTGATTTGAAATCTTTTTAGAAATAGTGTAACAACAGAGATGGACAGAGTGTCTTTATTTCATACACATATCTAGTTTTAGTGCAAATAGTGATTATGTAAACTGTATTGATTTGTCTGAAGTGTGTCAATCTGTTTGGGTGTTCTCACCAAAACTCACCATCGTAAAAAAAAATTTTAGGCATATGTTATATTTAATTTATTCAAAATTCATATTCAATGCAAAATCATATTCATCTTGAAGGCAGGAGTTTCAAAAGAGAATTATATAATGCGTTATGAAATACTGGGTGAACTACACAGCCCACATTGTCCCAGTATATCCAGTGTTGGATTATATTTTATTTTATTTTATTCTTATAAGGCTGCACAGTTGAATCAATGACAGATCCCTTCTTCCAGCATCAAAGTTGAAAACGAGTAAGCACAATATTTGTACTTCACAATGATCTCACAGCTGCTTCTTACACAATCCTGCTGCAATATTCATAGCACGACCAAGATGCTCTCTTCATTTACGCTTCTGACTCTATTAAATTCAAACCTGGGCAGTGAATATGTCTGATGAAATTACAGTAATTCTTTCACAGACCATGAGCATAGCCCTCCTTGGCCGAACTTGGGGATGACCGCCCCTTCAAAAGATGGCCTGACCCTTCCAAAATCAAGCCTGATTACCCATCTCTAGGACACTAAGAAGCGCCCAACTTCAAAAGGAGCAGAGACAATCACGGGTGGGGTAGTTTGGCATGGTGGGGGGGATGGGGTGGGGGTCGTGTTCAGAAAACTGTGCTGCGGCGGTTTGGGCCAGACTGAACGGTCTCAGCCAGGGGGCCCGGGACTATTAAAAGATAAATGTATTTCTCTCTTCCATTATTCATGATGTGAGGAGGTGGGGAGGGAGCAGGGAGCCAGAGGCTTAGCACAGCAGTGGATCCCTTCTCGGCCTCGTCAGGGCCAAGGCCCCCACTGCACCCGCTGCACCCACACCCTGATGCAAGAGAGTGTGAGCGGGGCGAGGAGTGCCGGGTGACAGCTGTGAGGTGTGAGAGGGAGATAGAGATAAAGCAACATATTCCCATACACACACACACACACACACACACACACACATATTTAAGATCATAATTTAATGTGATTGTAAATATATTTGTAACAACTGCATAAAGATACATTGGGGCATATATATATATATATATATATATATATATATACATATTTATTAATATCTAAAATCTTACATCAGTTTCTGCTGTCCCTTGTGTTTTTAAGTCTCACTTTCTCTTTAACATTCATCTATGCACACACACACACATGCACATAACAGAAACCTGGAAGGAGCATCAGACTGTGGCGCTGAATAACCTCTCAGTCGCTGATTAAGTAAAGGGTTTGGGCAAATACTTTTGAGGACGTCTTGGACTTCTACACTAGTGAATGGAAAAGCAAGCTTTTGTCCAGCTCGTCTCTGATCTGCAAGAAAAGCAGATTAGGATGACCCCAGTGTCACTCATTTGGAGATGAGTCACTGTTGAGAAAAACCAAACACACTGGAGAGAATGTCAAACAGTAGAAATAGCTAAGCCTCCTCTACTTGCTGCTTTTTCTTACAAGCTATTATTTCATTTTTATTCATGCTATCATCAATCATAGATAAACATGTTAAAACTATATATTTTTTATTCTTAATGTGGACAATTTTGATTTTTCTCATTGATGCAAGAAAAGTAATTCCTAATGTTGGGATTACGTGAATATTTCAACACAATGCTATTTTTTCCAGTGTAATGTTATCACCAAATATGTTTTTAAGAGATTAAGGGATAAAAACAATGGTTACATTGTGTTCAACAAAAACATTTATCTCACATGCCTCATGATGGGAGAAACTACCTGTTCATGTTTTAATCAAATGCTTTTCAAATTGTTTCATAATTACCTATAATTGAACACACACTGTGCCATTTTGCTGTTTCATGCCAGTATCTATTTTCTGCAGTCGCTAAAATCGTGCTGGAATTCTGTTTGTTTCAACAATTGCAATCACTGTTATCTCTAGTATTCATTCTCAAACATACTTCCACCGATTATTTTCTGGATAAGATCACAAATGAAGCAAAACATTTTAAATGTAATAAAAAAAAATGTTAAAACATATTTAAAAAATATAACCATCACTGACCACAAACCAGTCAATTAGAATTTCATCCATTCCACAGTAGCGCCCTCACAAAATAAACCAATGTAGTTCTCGTGTCCATTAAAAAGTGCTTTTCCCTCGACACAAGTGGTCCCCATTGCTTATATTTACAAATTTGAGATACATTATACCGGCATAAAATGCACACCAGTGCTTGGGAGAAAAGACGAGCTCTGTGACAGAGTGGAGGGTGGTCTGAACACATCAGTACTCATGACTCCACGCTGGGATCATTTGTTTCCAGACAAGAGGGCACAAGGGTGGGAAAAAAGGAATATAAGACGGCCAGGGGATGTGGGAAGGGTGGTGAGGGGTGGGAGTTGGTGATGAAATGCGTGTGTTTGTGTATGTGTGCGCACTTGGACAGATGAGTGTGTTTTATCTGTCTCTGTGTACTGTGTTAATGTGGATCACTATTCTTGCTTTGCCACTTTACACATTCTGGCTTGAATTAGACACAAGAGACAAAAGGCTTCATATTTGTGCTTGCGTGTCAAGGATTACTTGTTCCATTGAATGTGTCCCCCTATTATCTGCTTATCACTCTCTGTGCTCTTTAATCTCTTTCTTGTCTCTGCTCAATGGCTTCCTCTCACTGTCTCCCCATCACAAATGTAGCCTTTCTCCCCTTCTATTTTTTAACACTTACAAAACTGAAAAGGCCTGGCCTGGTCTGGGCCACCTGGAAGCACCAGTGAAGCTTTCTCCCAGGCCTGGCTCCCTGCCACTAGCCAGCTGTAGCATTGTGAGTGGCCCATCTCAATTAATTCCATGCATTGCAATTGTTGCCGGGCACTGTTTACAGCCACCTCCTACTCCGCCTGGGTAGCCTCTCCGATTGTCCCGGGGCCTCCCTTGTTTAATACTGTTTTGCAAGTTATTAAGCCCTGGAAGTCCATTAATCACAGTTCACGGGCTGTGTAAGCCCACACAAGGCAGACAGAGGTGGGGGATGGGGAGGCACACTCGCTGTCCTCAATGGGCTTAGACGGTGGTCCATTCAGATCCCTAACGAGATCATTACCACTAACTAAATACAAACCTGACCCCACGACCCGCTGGGAAATTACGTAGGAGCTCCCTGGTGCAAGACATTATATACACCCCCCCCCCATCTCCACCCCTCCGGTTTTCCTGCAACAGTGCGTAAACGCCCACCCCCAAAGTCTCCCAATGCAACACAACCCTGCTCCCCTACCCCTCCCTCTTGTCCATTCTCACTTTCTTGCCAATGGACAGAAAACTAAACCTGTCATCAAAAGGGGCCTAATCACTGCTGTGGTTGTGGTAAACCAAGCCTGACAGACATTTCACTGAGGACTCAATGGCCTCATCAGTGCCACCTCCCTAGCCAGCCCCCCCTTCTTTCTCTCGCTTTCTCTCAGTCCCTCGCTCTCTCTTTTTACCAGGCCTCTGGCCAATGAGCAACAAACACCCGGGGGCTTTTGAGATTACTTGACACACTGTGTCCACTTTTGGGAGGGAGACCACCTGGTAAGCTCATTTTAATACAAAACCAGTTCAGTCTCCTCTCCCTTTTTTCCCTACTCCGCTAATTCTGCTTCTCAAGCCAAGCTACCACCATGAATTCTGTCTAATCCAGTGACCCCCACAGAACATTCCTGGTTTTACACTCCTCGGAAGAGGCTGGATTTGGGCGGATTACATGCTTCCAGTTCTGTTTGGAGGCACCTGTGACTGGAAGTGGAAGGAAGGACCAACGATGACAGCGAAACATAGAAAGAGAGGAGGCGGAGACAGATTCCTCCTTTCTTTTCAACTTTTCACCTTTTCTTTTCACTTTTTTAATCATGGGTAGTCTCATCCCTGCTCTCTACCACCAACTTTTACATTGTAGCAGGCAGGTTGAATGTCCACTGTGTGGCCCAGGCGTGGGGGTGGGGGGGCGTAAGAAGGATGACAGAGCATGGGTGAAGGATGTGGGTGGAAAGGTTTGTTGGGGGGTTCGCACTGACTTTCACTTTAGCCCCTCAGCTTATGTAAAGATGTTGTCACTTTCACCATCTCAAGTGTTGCCACTTCAGATGCCGGAGCTTAGCGTTTGCAATGGGCTCTAGGGGGGTGAAGAGAGGGAGAGAGGGAGGAAGTCTGGGAAGATTTCCATTTTAAACAAGCACAACTTTGTCGCACTGTCACCTGACTACCATGACACCCCCTTTGCTATGTTTCCCAACTTCCTGTCTCCTTTTTGCTCCTTTCGTGTCTCTCTCTATAGCTGCCTCCCTTCATCTTTCTCAAGAACTCTTTAAGGCAGTGTTTCCGCCCTGAATTCCTCTGCCAATTTAATGAATTGTATCTCACAGCCTTTTGAGTTTTGTGCCTAAGGTGCTTAATTGTTTCGCTCATTTTTCTTTTTTTCTTTTTTACAGTATCATGGCGTATGCTTAAGCTGTGCGTGCTGTTGTAGATGTGCATATTTTAAATTAGGTGTAATATCCCCCACTTTAATCCATGATAAGATCTCAATTGTTCCATGATGTGAAATGGAGATGCAGCGACAACCAGGGCTGAATTAAATGAAATCTTAATTTACCTGGATATTATCCTCCAGTGAAATATAATCACTGACTGAATAACTGGGCACACCAGCATATTCTTAATTGACTCTTAATGAGTGTCATGGAACATATGCTTCAGTGTAGATTCAGAGATTAAGGAAAGGAAGTTCAGTAAGCTTTAAAAAAAAAAATTGAAAAAATATGAGCCAAAACATGAGCATGACCACATACAAGCATAAACACACTCGTATTTTCAAATTATCCACTCTGGAAAACACAACTATAACTACAAAATTACACACAAAATCTCACGGCATAGGCTGGTTGTAGAGTGTCTACCTGGCGCTGCATTGATTGTTCCTCAACACTGACCAATTGTAAGCTCATAATGATGATCTCTGGCATGACAAGTGATTTTAACCTGCCTGTGGGCCGCCCCCGCACCGAGTCACAGATCAGCTGCCCCACGTAAACAAAAACATTAGGAGAGCGTTCCACATTTAAGAGCATGCTAATTACAGTCATTCCCATCTGAAGTACTTTCTGCTGCAATTTGCTCAGATCACCAAACCTCCAATCCCTCTCATGTAAACAAATAAACTCTCACGCAACAAAGAGATAAAGCAAATAATAAAATAGACACTGGCGCTATCGTAACTCGCTGGGGGCACTGTGTTTGAAGTAGGCTTCAAATAGTATCATACTACTCTACAGTGTTGAGTCCTAGTGTTGTGCACATCCCCAGTGAGGAATAATTACAAGGGTTGTTGTTGATGCGCTCAGGAAAACAAATAATTTACTTTGTAATGGCAGAATGGAGGTGAATGCAATCCAAATGCAGGGAAATAAAGAAATATATTTTTTTGCAAAAAATTTCAAAAACAAAAATGGATTTGTATTTTGCACACGTTGACTTTACAAAGACATTTTGAACACACCACATTCATTGGCCAATTTCTCTCTTGATGTGTTCAAATAAAGAGAAAGGAGTTCAGCTAATTGATGTAAACCCAACAGGTGTCAAACGATTTCATTCTCCCTTCAGTTGCTTCTTGATAACGATTACTTAATTACCAGTTCCTACTCAGCATCCTTTCATTCATTTTTTTTTGGTGTAAACCTCTTGCCTTGGCCCAAAGGCACCAGGGCTGATCCACGGCAACAGATAGGGGAGTGAATGTCACCGCAGCCCTCTCAAGCCCTCCAGGTGAGTGTGTTTCTCCAGCGGTGGAGGAAATGAAGCAAAAATGATGGAGTGTTTGTTTTCTGACATTTTGTCTCTCTGCGGCCTCATCAGGGCTGAGCCTCGCAGACGTCAAGTGTTAATTTAGGGTTCCTGCCGAGCGTGAGCCTGTCAGCGGCGAGGCTTGGAGGAGGGAGGTGAGCTCTTGCAGAAAATGACCCTTCTGGTCTGATTGTCTTCTGGCCCGCAGACTGGCACTGAGAGGAAAAACAAAGACACGGGGAGAAAGAGAGAGAGAGGTGGCTGAGTGCTAATGCACCTCGCAGCAATTAGAGAAGCTTACCTGACTGTGTGAGCACAGCACGCAAACACACACACACGCACAAGGTACACTCAGTAAAGTACCCCCCCCCCACACACACACACACACACACACACACACACACACACACACTCTCAAAAAGCACATACTGCACAGTCAGGTAAATGTATACCCACCAGCTGAGGTCAGCACATATACCAACAAAATGAAAGACTGACTCCTTTTGAAAGAACTTATTCGCTCAACCAAACACACACACACTCAAATAGACACTCACTTTCACCATGGCCCATTCCCAGTGGATGGCTTCCCGCCACCTTTTAGCCCAGTGATTAATTGGCCTGAGCGTACGATAGTCCAACCCTTTATTCTGTGAAACTTAAACAAAAAAGACAAGCCTCTCTAAAGATTACAGCAGCACATTAACCACAGAGTGAACCATGAAATTGCTTTTTCCCCTCCTGCAGTGTTGTGACTCTATAGTGGTCACTGCCAGTCACGGGGAAGTTGCACGGGCATTTGTGTTACATCACTGATGGACAACAAAAAAAGACATCCGGGTGGAGCTAAGCCGACTGACACCGATCCGCTTACCAGCTTGGACCAATGGTAAAATAGACACAGGTGTGGCGGTGGAAGGAAATAGCCCCTGTGGAGATAATGGGTAATGCTGTTTTATTCGTCAAAAGAGTCAAGTTTTTTCCAAGAGAGTCCAATACATCAAATTTACTGTGATAAAGAGGGTTTAGAGGGCTGTCACATTGGAAGGAAAGGTTAATTCCGTAATTATTTCAGTGTGAAAAATAAATAATGTACCCTTTGCCGTTTCCATCATTTCCTAATTCGCTTGGAAATTCATTTTCTTTTCTGTTTTTTCACTCCACCTAGCCCAATTCAATCACTTGAGTTCATCTGTCTGTGTTATGCAAATCTGAGCGGCTGAGATTGAACCCATTTGAATACCTGGTTCAACTCGTGAGCGGAGGGGCTGATAGAAAAGATGAATTCTTCCGTTTCAATGTGCCTCCCTTTTGCACCCAGTCGCGCGGTATCAAGGCTACCTTTTTACATGGCGCTCTCATTTATTTTAGCCCATTGCACAATGCTGCTCTGGCAGTCAAATGTATGAATAAGGAGAGGGAGTCACTCTTGCCCTCTGTCTCTCTCTCTCTCTCTCATGCTATACAGAGAGGCAAGGTCTGTTTCTAAGATCATGGACACTAGCAGAGGAGACCAGAGAAGATCATTTTGACGACGTTAGAAGAGTGTTGATTTGGAGCTGAGGGTTTCCCAAATATCCTCCCTATCCGTCACTGGGAATTTTTTATTACAAAAAATATTTTTGTTTTAATTGTTGAAATAAAAGTGGTGTGCTGAACTTGACATCCTGTCTAACTGGACAGGGTTTTGATTGACAGCCAACCTGAGGAAGGCTAAGGCCAGTGTCTTGGAGGCATGCAGACATAACACTATTATTCCAACTTATCCCTAGGAATACATCCAGGCAGCCAGGGGCACAGCGGGAGGCTAATAGACTAGCACAGAGGAGCCCCCCTGAAGCTTGATGCATTGTGTCAAGGCCTTGTCTACTTCACGCACATTAAGGATCACATGCCACAATTTCACAGTACAGCAGGGGGACCGGCCCCCATCCCAGCCCCTGATTGGCCAGTGATGGATGGTGTTGACAGTTACAAGCCGAGTACCAAGTGGAGCAACACAAAGGTCAAGGTTGAAGCTGCCAGTGTGGTCTGGTTAACAATGGAAGGTCTCCATAGTAGGAAAATGCTGTTTATACTAAACACTAACTATGCAGTGTGTTATATAGGCACAATGGGCTTTAGTCATTTGAAGCCATGGCTTTTGTTAAACAGCCAGACTTGCGAAACACAGTATTTAGCATTCAGGTACTGGGCTGCTTAAAATTCCCAAGTGAAAACACAATGATCATTTAAAAAGTGTCATTTTAAAAGAAAACTAAACTGGCTAGAAATGGACATTCGCATGCCACCTTGTCCCTATGACAGATAGCAGTTGCCGTTCTGTGCCACATCACTCTGAGAAGAGGGGAATAAAACAGTTGTTCCCACTGCAGTGTCCTGCAGGAGTGAATTTTTTCAATATAGCACTTCAGGTTGAAGACATTTCTCCGGTCATTTTCCTCCAGTACTTCAGTGTAATTCTTTTTTCTCTCCCCTCCATTTTTTCCCCGGCGACTGCAGTATGTGGCAGTCTGAATTGTGTGTTATTACCCAGCAGGAGACAATATCATTACCACATATTTGCTGTCAAGGGTCTGCAAAGAATGGTGCTGTCTTGGGCCTCAGTGATCTAACAACCTCACACAGGGCTCCAGAATTACCCACTCCTGGCTGGGGGAAGTCAAACACTACCAGTTAGAGAGGGGAGTGAACAAAAGAGAGGTACCCTCTCTCTCTCCCCCCTCTTTCTCTCTACCTCTCTCGTGAAGATAGAAGGGGACACACCTCCTCTGCGCCAAACGGAGGATGCTATTCTCCCGCGCCTTGATAGAAATATATGTTTGGTTCAAGTGCTGAATGATATGAGGCTGCAAGCTAGATGTGGACGGGCTGCATGTATGACAGTCTGTCATTTTAGATGAAGAGACAAATTGTAATCTCTGCGATGTGCTATTAGTGTGGGACGAGTAGCTCATAATTACCAACAAGTTTTTGCTGGATACTACCTCTGAATTCTGCACACTATAAGCAGGAATAAGAGGGCAGAATGTCATGTGTATGTGTATGCAAAAAAAAGTCAAGTTTCTTCTGCTTTCCTCTTAACGTATCACATTGTGACAGGGTTTTCAGCATTTGAAAGGGTTCATGGAGATATGTCATATAATGTCTGACGGAAATAACTTCAGAATGGACAAACAATCCCTTTCATGAAAACTGCTATTCAGACTTTGTAACAATGTCTTTCTCATAAGACAAATAGAATTGCTATCATTTCCGTTGACAGCGTACAACAAACAGACTAACAGTTTATGCATACTGAGTGACAAAGCCATCTATTTTCTTTCCGGAAAAACAGGCAATACACACTCTGGCAATTGAACCACAAATGAGGAGTGAAAAATTCAAACTTCCTCTCCCATCCGCCATCATTTATACAAGACATAGAAATATTTGATTGCTCTTGCATATCTCCTCACGCTTAAGGAGACAGCCAACCAATACGCGGCCCACGTAAACAAAGTCTGGGACTCTGTATGAGCCTATCATTTAAGAATCCAAGCGAATCAAGCTTGCAAACAATCAGGAGGTAGAGGAAAAGAAACTCGGTGAGAGCTTCTTCTTCCAATGCTTTGAAGGTGTAAACAGAGACCCTTATTTAAGATAAGATGTGGCTGTGCATCCTTGATACACCTCTGCACTGAAACAAGGCAAGAGTCCTTGATTTTTTTTCATAACAATAGGGGCCAGCTCTTGAGGAAGACACATTCATATTCATTAGTTCAGGATCTATAGTGGTAAATTATGAGCATGCAGCTCCAACGTTCTTCATGAGAGGTGGAACGCTTTCGCAAACCATTTTAATAACAAAATAATTCCGACTATTCATGTGAGTTACTAGAAAGAATATAAATGTGTATTGTACCTTTCTAGAGTGTACACTTTAGACAAGGTGAAATTTAGTATAATTGAATTGGATTAAATGTAATGTTAGTGCCCTTATAGAAAGATGTTGAATAGAGAAATGTGAATACCAAGAAAGATAAAAAAAAAAAATACATATAAGGCACATAAGGTCAGGCTTTGAGTTGAATGGTAAACAACTTGGCATTTTATCATCATGGAAGGAAGGACTTTCATTTGTAGCAGTTATATTCACTTAATTCAAAGGTGGACCACATAGTAAGCTTATTACAGCTGAGAATTTAATTAATGTGGTGTTCCTGCATTCACCATTCTTCAAGTGACATCCAAGATCATGCATCAGTCAGAAGCAGTGTCTGACATTATATTAAATTTGAACATTTACACCTTACAAACAGAGAGCACTCAAAGACACCAGCTGATAGGACGATATGATAATGTTTTGAAATCGTTGCTACCAAATTAACCTGATTGTAATAGGATTCGAGGTAGATAACATGGAAAATTAGTGTTTTCTTTTCAAGGCAATATACAAAATGGAAGCGCTACAAATTGATTTCTATATCCTCCCCAGATGCCCTCCTCTCCCCCAGCCACACATTTTCATAATTTGAGATGAGGCGATATGGCATTAATATTCCCTATCTTATCTTGTCACATCCTGAAATTGTTGGAGAGGATATGATTAGCTGAACAATAGCATGAGAAATGCACTTTATGAAGGCTATCCAGGTTTTTATGACAAAGAGAGTGGAGAGGTGTAGAGTGGGCCAGGAAGCCGACACGGTGGCAGTCAAATGCCCTCGTTTCTGGATCTTGATTTGTCACAGCAGGCATTCAGAAGAGCCCAGGGCTTGACGATACATGCATGCCCACCAGTGTTGGCCATTCACACACGATTAGCATTTTATTATTGTTTATAGGCCATTTAGGAAGCAGGAAGACAGGCCCGAGCCAATGGTGCAAGGAGGGCTCCAAAGCACAGTGTTTTGGACTGGTTAAATGCACCATTAAGCCTTTTAAAATGAGCTCCACCCGTCAGAGACTAAAAACAAACGTGGCTTTCTGGCTATCAATGGGCACCACTTAGAGGAAACAATGCCCTGTTGAGGCCCACCAGTTTCCTCATCAATGAACATCAAAGATGAATGAGCCCTGGCTGACAGCTTTGTTTTGACTCTGATACCCACAAAGCCCTGCTCAATATCATCCTGGTCCTGCTCCTCTGGGTTGCCCTAACAGGTGCGACCCCTCTTCTCAATGCACCGTTTGACAAGACCACGGATGGGCAGGGGTGGCGGGGGGCTTTGGTCCACATCCGCCTTAATCCATCCTACTATAAAAACACTTTGAAAAACAAACGTTTGTTTGGCCAAAGTCAAAGCCCTGGAGCCTGGGGCTCATCCGTCTGTCTGCCCAGGCTTTCTCCCCTTTATTCCTGCCTGCTTTTTTGTCAGAGCTTCAACCCTTCCCCGCTCATTTGGACAGGACATTAAACAAAACCCGAGAGGATCTGATTCCCAGCCATTTCCCACAAGAGGAATACATACAGTTACAACAGCCAATTGTTTGGATTGTGATAACAGCGCCTGAAGAAGAAAAAAGAATGGGAAAGGGCGGTGGGGGGTGGAGAAAAGTCAGAAATCTCACAGAGCAAAACATTCTGTAAAAAAAAAAACAACCACCAGCATCAAAAGACACAGACCGTGGATCAAACCTGATTATCATTCAAGTTACTCTTTAGATGGGGAGCAATTTAAGCCGGTTAATTTCTGAGCTCCCCTTTTTCTGTAGCGAGAACTGCGCGTTTTTCTGCCAGTGATAGGCTCCCACTACTTCATGGGGAGATTAGAGCTCCTCCACTCAGGGATATAGAAAGGCCTTCAGCCTGGCAGAGAGAGGGGGGGGACAGCCAATGTTGAGCATTTTAATCTAGAGTCACAAAGATAAGATGCAATGGCAGATCAATATGTGCTCTATGGTGGCAGCTCCCTGAGAACTTGTCTCTCTGACTGTGTAGTGAGAAGCCTTTTACCCTGTGCGTCCCATGGCTTCATTTCTCCACCGACCAGCTATCTGTAGTGACTGTCTTTCTGTGACATCTCACACCGGGGCATGTTTAAACCCAGACACCACGCAAAACAGACAGTGAATATCTAAATAGGATCGCCTGTGAAATTTGCCATGATAAATCTCTCCAGGAATCAGCCAGTTTGAATATTCGATATCGCATCTGTCCTTGGCTACCTCAGGGGGCGCGGGAGGTATGATAAGGGATATTCAGAGGAGTGATTAGATAAAAGAAAGCTAAATTCTTTTTTTGATTGTGGGAGATGCATAGCAATGGTATTTGCACTCTGCCATGTCTCTGTGACTGAAGTAAAGTGTATAGGAAGCATTCAGGATGTCAGTTTTACTTAATTTGCTCTCCTTTGCATCAGTGCGGCATTCCATCATTCCAGCATCATCAGATGCTCTGTCAGTGTTGAGGCTCCATAAAAAAAAGATAAAAACGAAAATTCTTCTGTGCTTTTGAGAATCTCTGCGCTGAAAAGTGAGACACCTTGAACTCCTTTAATTTTCAGCCAGATAAGCTGCTCCCACCACATGCTTTAAGTAGACACAAAACTCTCATTCGCACGTGCTCACACAGACATCGTTAGCACACACAAGTGGGTTTCGACTTCTCTCTTTCATGTCGGTTTCCAGCAGCCCACATCCTTCCGTGTTTACCCCCGTCCTTCACATTTCAGCATCCTGCCTCCGATGATGCTTTTGACATGAATGTGTCCTAAACAGAAACAGATCATTAAAGGGAAAAAATGCAAGGTATTGTCATGTTTGTTTGTTTTCATCCTGGGCAGCAGTTCAGATACAGCAAAGGCTCGGAGCCAAACTCTGACAATTCACAGCAAAACACAGCGGGGAAAAAAGCAAAGTGCTGAACCAAATCTGTATTTGTGAGCACAATACATGTACTGTAAAAGACAACTGCAGTGCTTTGGGTAAAGGGTGTATGCGGCAAGTTGTTTGTGTGTGCGTTCAGTCACAGACGCACACGCATGTGTGAGTGTTTGTATGCCTGTGTGTTGTGTGACAGCAGACCTCGCTGAGGAGGACTAGCAATCACTCCATTCAGCATCTGCTGCCACACAGCTCATATTGTCATTCCCCAGTTTAAAGGAACCTTGAGCGGCTTCAAAGATCTTTTCAAAGCCTTAATCCTAATAGGTCGCGGTTTGTTCTGTCACATCAAAAGGGGGAGAGAGGAGGTAGGGGGAATAATGCATCGGGGCTGGCAGAGATTCTTAAGGGCGGAAGATTGGCAGAGGATTTGCAGTGCGGGGAGGACTGAAATCTGAAATATCGGACACAGAATGCCTGCTGTAATAGATATGAAATAGGTCTTCTCAAAAGCATGAAAGGCTGACATTTCCAGAAAGTTTGTCATGAGAAGGCCCTTTTATTCCCCCTCGTCTATCTGCGTTTGTACTGCCACCTTGTCCATAGTGGAAATTCGCAAGTGTCACTCTAACAGGTTATAGAATAAGATTGGACGTTTTTAGATTTTTTTTTTTACCCGTCTCTTCCCTTTTTTATTGAATGTTTAGAATTTCCAGTGAGAGACCAATTGAGTTCTGCCTTCTGCATGGCACTCAACTTAAAATTCTATATTCAGCACTTCCTGACCCTGTTACAGCCAACTGGATGAAATCTCAGCCATAGACCCCGTCTTATACAGTGTGTGTGTGTATATATATCTATATAAATGTATATATCTATATCTAGATAGATATAAATATATACATATATAATTATATATACATATAAATTAAAAATATAATGGGTACTTGTGAGATGAGTAAGCTTACTTGATAAACATATTGCCCTCAGTGTGAAATGGACGATAATGTTTAAATCAAGTCTGCCAAAGCATATAGTGGGTGTGAGACATGCTAGACCATAAGTGTCACTTGTGTGTTTACCCCTCACCTCTCTGACACTTTATCAGCTCTGAAGGTGTCTTTCATGCATTTTCACCTGATCGACTCAGCAGACAAAGAGATCCGGCCCGTGTTTCAACAGTGCACAAGTGTCCAGCTAATTAGGTGCTCATGGGAAACCGAGCATTGATTTTCTGTCAGTGTGCCTGCCCCCCCAAAAGAAACTGGGCTGTTTGTCTTTTTCTAATGATGCACCGTGTGCCATTGATAACAGCGATAAAACAGGCCAGAGGTGTAGCATTAGCAAACCTGGACACACCATACCCGTGGGAACCCATATATAATGTCACTGTTTAATTGTATGGGTTTTTAGGAAATAGGTAGGCAGAGACTAGTGGGAAGTAAACAAAGTTTGTCTGGGATGGAAATGGACTGAGTTGTCTGCAAAAACATACCTTTTCAGCTCTGTAAAGGCGTGAAATCCCTCTTGTGCTTGTTATTTCACACTCCTGTGGCTCCAACTTGGGCCAGCGGTGGCACGGTAAACAAACAAACACATGTGAATTCACACAAAACACACACACACACACACACACACACACACACACACACACACACACACACACACACACACACACACACACACACACACAGTGAACTGAAGAGGGGGGATTTTGGCAGAGAAGTTACTAATGACCTCACATTTTCAGGATCCTCACTCACACAGAATTTCCTACAATCACACTGAACATTTTTTTTTGCAAATTATTCCAATACAGTAAATCTCCAGCATAAATGGAGGCGTAATATATTTTTCTGGAATTATGAAATAACCAAGCATTTCCTCTATCCTCTATACATACATCTCCCTGAGGTGGGAAACATGGCTTTTCTGAGCACACAGAGAACTGTTATGTATAAATAATGGTTTCAGTATCACGCTGGACAGTGTGCCAGCCACCTGCTGATCCAACCACACACAGGTAGAGCCAGCCCGGGTGACACGGGGCTGTAGACATGGGCATTCAATCTGCCAGCAAACTAATCAGTGAAAGGGATGAACTCCAAGCTTATCAGAGGGGGTCATGGATGTAGGTGGAGGAGGCAGGGATGTTTTGCACAGCCACAGCAGGGTGACACCGGGCCCTAGAATGGGAAAATTCACGAATCTCAATGTAGGAGGTTGGAAGAGCACAACCCTCAAGGAGGTGAAGGAAGCTTTGCTGCCTTCCACCCACACATTACCTGAACATGTCAGAGTCTGATGCTAACACCTTCAGCTTAACTATGATATGATGAATGCCTGGTTCACTTGCCTTGCAATGGATATCTGGCACCCACTGTACTATTGGTAATGGGCATTTGTGGGTCTAAATAGCATAACAAAGAGTGGTAGGCTATATACCAGTTAAATGTTAGAGTTTGATAAAGAAATCTCACCAGAATAGTTAAGAGATGGCTTTCTACATCTGGTACTACAGGAGTATGCTTAAGTATTTCATTGTCTCTCAAGCACTACCCTGTTAAAAACAACAATTAGTTTCACTAGATAAATGTCTGTCTTTGAAATGCAAGGCCCCAGATTGAACAGTGTGTCTTTAAATTCCAGAATGTTCTTTTGCCTCCGCACAGTGATGTCGCTGAATGGATGCATTATTTCAGCTCCTTAACTGATCACCGCTGGAAACCATTCTGTATCAGCATTTAAAGGTACAAGACTGTAATTCAGGAGGTAATTTCACATCTTAACAGAATCCAATTAAAAGCATGGACATTTCAATTAAACGTCCCCTGGCTTGTCGCTACGGTGTCACACCACAAGTGAAATTGGAATCAGATTACGGTGTGAACCTGAAGAAGTATTTTTTCAGCGCAATAAGGATCACTCATTTCAGATAGAGACCCCTGTCATGCATACTGTAGGAAAAAAAATAGCCTTTCTTTGCCAACATTAGTCATTTAATTCTCCCTCCTTATTAATTTCACAGCAGATTACCTGAGAAGATACAAAATGCTGTCAGCAAAGAGTTTTAATTAAGTATGGGGTATGTTGCTACGAGTACCTTATGTGAAACTGCTGCCTTATAATGCTCTTGTTTTAATTACTTCAGAGTGCCCCCTCATTAACCTCTATGGAGATGTGCTCCAAACTACAGTGTGCATTACAAACACTAGAATCAGAAATTGCTTATATCCATATACAGAGCTTCATGTTTGTAGTGTTTGAAAATGAAGACGTGAAGAATTCCACACGGTTTCTTAATTCTGTAACATACAGCATTTAAAATTAAAAGAAATGGGCTATGCAGTTATAATTATTGTGCTTTGAACTTGTCAATTGCGAGATAACCTTGGTGGCTAAGGGCACCATGACGACCCCTGGTGGGAGCTGTGATCTCAAATTACTGGCTCATGTTTGTGCCTTATTTGTAGAACTTGCTGTTACCAAATGGCATCAAGGTTTACCATATTCCACTTTTATATTATAATATAAAATATTTTAATTAATGAAATGTATTTAATACAATTTTACTAATAGAATTTTTCAAAATTATTCTTCACAAATACATAAATAGGGTGATAAATAAAATAATAATAATAAAAGAAAGTCCATATTTTTAGTATTGGACACTAAATACGTCTAGGGCCTGGTTTAGTCAAACACAGATTGGTTTTGTTCCATCATTTCATTTCTCCGTAGCTCATCTATGTAAAGCAGCTGTGGGTGGTCCCACAGCCAGAGTATCAGTGGCCCCGTGGACATTTCCCCTTTTGATCCTTTTCATCCTGAAGTTTCTGAATGGTCCAATATAGATTTCAAAAAATGCTCCGAAAGTGGGCTCCTATTCACAATATGCGGATGGATAACTGTGCCACTGTCCACCCCAACACCTTAATGTGGTTTAACAGGATACATTAGCTTTTAATGGCACTTAATTGTACAAAAAGGAAATCCATAACCACATAAGGAGAAAAGTCAAGTATTTCCAAGCTCTTTATAAGAACAATTTAGAGCAGACAAGTGCTTTTCAAACCTTGGATTGGAATCAGTCCGACAGCCTGGCCATGAGAAGGCGGGTCTTCATTTGTGAGGCTACAGTGCCACCATTTGGTCATGATGAGGTTTCATTTCTTTGCCAGGCCCTGGGAATTGGCAATTCTAGGCCTGTATGAAAAAGAATAAATTATGATGGTTTATACTCTGGAAATCCCATTTTGAAATAAATGATCTCATTCAAAAATAATGTCACAGTTGGCACCGTAATTGTCTAATTCGGCACTGAACTATCTTTGAGAAAGCAGTGTGGCGCTCTACAGCAGACTATAAAGTTGAATTGTCTTAGCGTACGGTATATCATTTCAGGAATGAGCTGGAACTGGAAATACTTCCAGGTGCAGGATTAGAGATGGAAGTAAACATCCAGTCCCATTGTTATTGTTGATAGATTATTGTAGGGCCATGCCATCTTAGATAATGAGCAATAACCTGCACTTCAAGAACAGGGGAGGTTTGCCAAGAAGGAATGGTGATTACAATCAATTAAGACTGATGACAAAGCACCAACAATAACCCTCTCTCTCTCTCTCTGTGTGTGTGTGTGTGTGTGTGTGTGTGTGTGTGTGTGTGTGTGTGTGTGTGTGAGTGTGTGAGCGCTTGTGTTTTATTCACGCATCCTTCCAAACTACCCTGTTTTGTGTAATCAACATCTGTTGTGACAGGCAACCTCCTCCTTTCTCAGAATGGCCCACTTCAGATAATGAGTGTCATACCAAACTGCAGGGCAAAGGCTGATTTTACTCCTCTTTTTACTCCTCCTCTATGGCCTCCGCTCTCGCCACCCTCTGTTCCCTCTCTTATCATTCAAGACATCCATTGTGGAGAACCTTGAAAAAGAGAGACAGACACTCTTGTCACAACATTGTCAGCACTCAGTTTGTGGGGGTGGTAGATGAAATAAAATACAGGCTGGCCTTCTTTATTGAGAGTATAGGATCCTTCACAGACGACTCCTAAACACTGACATTCTCGTGAATGCCTTTATTTCGGTTACAGGATGAGTTATTCAAACAGAACCTTTGTGAGACTTTTGTTGATTTCTCTCCATATTGTCATATGAAAGAATTCCTTTTTTCCCCCAGTGATACCCTAATGCTTGTGCATGCTGTGCATAGAGCATATGTACGTTTTATTCACGAAAATAAATCCAATGATGACACCCAATGACGTGTAGCTTTTATTAGTATGCTGAGCTCATCAATGATTTAGGCGCCATCTCCTGGTCGAGTTGATTATCCCAGAACCTTCTGGTGAGTCTCACTAGCAGCTTTTGTGACTAAAATAAATAGAAAACATATCTATTATTTTAGATTAGTACACTTTATTTCATTTTATTAAGTCTAACACACACAACGATGATATGTAATTGAAGGTGCAGTGGCACAGTTATAAATATATGTCTTTATATTTGTATATTTTATCTACTACTAAGTCTGAAAAGATTTCTCAGTCACAAACTTGAAATCCATTTTGACTCTACAATCTAAGCTCTGTCTTCAACGAGATGTGTCTAAAATGTGCAAATAAAATAATTTTCCCAGCTTAGCCTCAAAATTAATTGCCTCCAAAATAAGACAGATAGGTTCAGACAAGCGAAAGTGTGAGATTGCACGAAGTGTCAGTTTATTGGGGTTGATTAACGGACGCATCCAATTTCTTCAAACTTAAGATTCATCTCAGACTGTAAACACTTTTTTTTTTCATTTCCAAGATGGAATTTTCTGTTTGCACGACCATGTAGAACAAATTATTTTGAAAATCCATTAAAGTCATGAACACACTGAACTCTGTTCAATTTAGCATGACCCTATGTTTACTTTAACTGCAGGAGGGCTCTTCTATTTAAAGATTACCTTGTATTCTTATATTCATTCATCAAAACCTCCACTTTATAGTGTCAAGTGGCAGCGACTTGACTGAGCAGTGAAGCTGTTATATCTTTTTACTCTTTGTAAGTGTCAGCATAGCAGGGTGTGAATATCAAAAATACAGGTCTCTTTTATCTGAATGTTTGGTTCTCTGGTTCATTCATTACTTTATTGCAACAATTAGTTAATTTAGCTCTAAGAATGTAGCAAGGAGACATGCAGTATTTTTTATTCAGGCTTTGACTATCACCAGGGTGCTGCAGTAATATTAGGATATAATGAAGGCATTGGCACACATTTAATTTTATTTGTTTAATAACTGTTTGATTACATTGTTATGACAAAGCACCCAAATTTTATTTGTCATAATAATAATGTATTAATGACAAACACTGAAACCACTACGATGTGGTTATCCCATTTCTTTCAGTGTCAGACATATGTGCCAAATGCGTCCATTGTTGAAGTGTGTTAAAACATGCATTATAATTTGATTAATGTATGCTACAGTATGTCAGTACTCAAAATAGAGTTTTGGGTCACTATATAATTTGTTAAACTGGATGTGAGTTGCTTTGTGTTTTCCTTTTCCTGGAGAAGATGAAAAAGTCTAAAAGAATTACTGAATTGACAAAAAATAAGTGGTTTGATAAACTACTTTGAAAATGAATTAATTATTTAAGTCATTTTTATGCAAAATGCCAAAAATATCCCTTGTACCAGCTCCTCAGATGTGACTATATACTTGTCTTATATTATATTTATTAAAGATTTTGGAGTTTTTGACTCAAGAAAATAAAATGCAGATTCATCAATAATAAAAACAATCTTTAGTTGCCCCAGAGTTATCCCAAACATACAAACCATCTAATCTCAAACATGTAGCTTATTTCCATTTCTACAGAGTCAGCTTTGCAAGTCTCTTTATCTTTATTTCCATGTATTTATATCTGTTGTTACTGTTGTTGATGGGATGCATCCCCTTCTCCTCAAGTGTAGTGTTCAAACACCAGAGGGCGCTTGGGAGCTGATACAACAACCAGACCCCCAACATCCTTTCATTAAACCACTATTATATGAAAGAAAGCGATATCGATCCCTGTTTTAAGCTGAGGATGGGTGCCAGTCTTCAACCTAAAGTTTACTGCAGGACAGTGCACTGAAGCTTGTCTTTCTCATGTTTTAAAGATTACAGCATGGGACTTGAACGAGACGACGCAATAGCTTAAACCACCTTAAACTGTGAAATGTAAAGGTCAAACAACCCATTAAATGCACGAAAAACAAACACTGGAAAGTGCAAGGTAAAACGGTTATAAACAAGGAGGCGTATTCACATTCACGTAACCACTCCTCTCTGTCAGGCTGCGCTTCCGTGTTTACACACCCACAAAAAAAAAAAAAAAAAAAAAAAAAAACAGGACACTAGCGGCCGTCGGGCGAATGTTTACCGAGCAGGCTTTAGAGTGGTGGTGAGGAAAGTGACAGTCACACTGGAGGCTTGGTGTATGGTGAAACACAGGTGATTTCAGCTTCCACGGTTGCATTTTACAGCGGAATGTTCACTCGAAGGGGGCATGGAGACGTCAAGAAATCTACACAGAAAGTTCTGGACCCAAAGAAGGATGTGCTGACCCGGCTCAAACACCTCCGGTCACTGTTAGGTGAGTGAAATGTCACAGGGGCTTTTGATGGTGCATCGCCGAGGCTTAGCTAGTCGAGCTAGCTAGCTAGCTGGCAACAGATAACGTCAAACAAGGCGTCAGGTTAGCTGGCTGGCTGTCACTGCGGTGACTTAATGCAAGCAGGCTGGCAGGTAACACTAATTCGCACAATACCAAAACAACTACAGCTGCAGTTTGAAGTGTTTGCCACTCACCGGCTGTTTCCATTGATTTTTTTGCGCGGACTTATATCAGACAAGTCACTATGATAAGGCATGGATGCTAGCTAATGTGAGCTAGCTCCCCTTGCGGCTAACTAGCCAGCCTATGCTAACCGACGCTACCTTGTCAGGGCATCAGTCGTTGAGAAGCAGATGCCCACCACAGCCTTTGCTGTCATTTAGTCCTGTGTCACCCTGGCTGTCTTAAAAACGTAGGAATTGCAACCGTCTTGCTCATCATTGAGTGGTAGACAAACAGAAGTTACCGTTTATACACAGTGCTTGAGGCTGAAGTGTGAATAGAGCTTTCCTCTAGCTGGTTGCCTGCTGCTATCAAGTTACTCTACCCTAAAGATATTTGAATTGAAAATAATGAAAACTGTAAATGGGCCATGCTGGTGGAGTCCTTTTGTTTCTTTCATTGGACTAGGAAGTGCAGTATTTATGACAGTCATAAAACTGTTGTGTAGCTGTTGTTATCTGTGGTTCACAATGATAATCTAAAGATACATGAATTTGCTCTGCTGCAGCCTGACTTGTGCTCCACATCAGTTTTGTATTACACATAATGGAACCTAATTCCAATCCACTTTGAAGGTTTTATTCATTGATCAACTATCATGATGCACTGTAGAGTCCATATAGTGGATTTCTTTGCCCTTGTGAGTCTAAATGCCAAATCCATTTAGCAAAACATGGAAGTAGAAGGCAGAGTTAAATAGTGTTTCTATTCTTTTTTTTTTTTTTTTTTTTTTTTTTTAAACTTTACTCGGGTCCACATGACTCAAAAACAGTCTGAACAATACGGAGGTATTTGAAAGTCTATACCATAAGTTGTCTTTTAGGTATGCAGATATACATTTTTCATTGCATCCCACCTGAGTGGACTCCGTTATAATGAAGATGACCTTTATAGTACTGGGCACTGTAGAATATGTGTGTATACACTACTGTTATTCTCATTGCATCACAGACAAAACGGGGTCAGTGGGTACTTTGGGGAAAGTGTAGAGAGGAAGAAAGTTGCCAAGGGAATTGTGAGATATGGAAGAAAACTGCAATGGATTCATTATAACTGCAACATACTGTACGGTGTTTTTAGTCAAAGTAGGTCACTTACGCTAAGGTATGGCTCGTATAGTTTGGCTCTTGCAAGGATAAATGTATATGTAGTTCAGTTTAATATGTAGTCTAATCAACTCATATATTTTGACATATTAATGCAATATAGGTGAAATTCAATTGCAATTTTTTATATTTACTGAACTATTCAAAACAACACAGTGTGCAGTTATACATTGTTTTTTAAAACACAATGATTCTTAAGCATTTAAGATCTCTCACTGTGAATGATTTTTGATAACATTTAACTTTTAACAATAATATCACACAGCCTTACTTGATGGACTATTGTGCACTTTAAGACAAAGCTTGACAGGGAAGATATGGGTGAAGTAGCAGTGGATGTCAGTGGAAAGGAAGAATCAATTTGTTTGACTAATGTATGCTTGTTTATAACCTATTCTTTGTGGTCTTTTTGCTGTTTTATTGATTTCTACACAGCATCACAACAGTGACAGCCAGTATAAGGCAGTATTCAGCTTAATAGTATTCAGAAGCTTGAGCAAATCAGTTAGAAGTTCATATGGTTAGAGCTTTCTGCTATCATAGCACACCTTCAATGTCAAGACTAGTACAACCAAAGTGGAGGTCAATACAGAGCTCTGCATGCCCTCTGTGTTTCTCTTTCCCTCATGTGCAGTTGAAGATAAGGCTGGTCTGTTTGTCCAGCAGCTGATAGTAGGGCCTACATGTTGATGTCCCCCAACCTCCCTGATTTCACTGTGCTTTCTGCTGAGGAAGGATTTCCTCCTGGTGCTGCTGGTTCCTGTGTGGACAGGAAGCAGTGATGAGAGACGGGTGCTGTGGAGGACAGGGCAGGACAGGGACTTGAGGGAATAAAGCTGGCCCTGTTTTTTGTAAATCATACTATGTTATATTTGCAAGGGTAGCAATTAACCCTACATGAATTGGAAGGCTGTCCAGTTTTATTCCCTCATATGAGGATTGTAAAATGTGAACAGGGGGTAAAATTCAAAGTTTAACTGTTTAACCTGCAGGCATTTCTTTTAAAATGAGCAATATCCAGTGTAGATGTCCATGCTTATTCATTTTACTAATACTAATACATAATATAAATGACTTTGTATTTGTACAAAGGTTGAGTTACTGGCATTCTTATTTTCTTAACCTCGCTCCAAATCCATTGTCCGTTAGGCCATGTGAAAATTGAGCCAGGTATTTTTTTTTTTTTATGTTGTGTCTCATTGTCTCCGTGGCTGTGTAGTACCAGGGCCAAAAATCTGTTAAACCAGCTTGTTGAATCTAGTCAAAGTATATCAGTGTTATTGGAGTTGAAAGGACAATCTGTGGCCTGGGCTATTTTCAGAGTGGCCCTGTATTGGTTTTCTGCTCACTGAGCAGATCTGTGGGATAGAGTGTGAAAGCTGCTGCATGTTAATTTGCTGGTCATGCCTGGCTGGATTTGGCTGAGGTTGTTAATTACAGGAGCCCAGCAAACCACCTGATCACTCACTGCTTCTCTCAATGGAGGCACAAACGGCCATTCGTCTGACTCTTTCCCTGCTCAAAGTCATTCACAAGCTTGGCTCCAACTTAACCTGCGTTCGCCGTTGCTCGCCATTGCATAAGTTCCTCCGAAAATAAAAAGATGATGGTCAAAATGCGAGCAATAGTGTAGGAAATCTCTCACTAATTTGACTGTAGACAGGAGTGTTTGTCTGGGGGAATACCCATTGATTCCCAGAGGAGATATTTCTTTCTTCCACTGGGAGGTCAGAGTGCCAGGACAGCTTTAGACCAGTCAATGCTGCCGAAGCTCTGATTCAGTGTCTAGCTCAAGTATGCTTTTCCAACATGAGGGACGCTGTAATGGGCCCTATGTTTGAAGGACAATCAACTGAATAGAACAAGTCAAAGTATATCTTAAGTGGATATTGTTTGTTTTCTATTTGTTCTCTTGAACTGGTGTAAACAAACAAATTTTGAACCTGTTGTTGAACTGCATGGGGACAACAATGAATGTGTTGTTAGTGATAACAGTCAGGTGTGTTTGTTTGTGGGTCTAGCTGTGTGAGTTTGCAGCCACAGATAATGCTTCTTTTTTTTTTTTTTTTTTTTTAAAGTCCTGCACTCTTCTTTAGAAGACACAAAATCATCTAGTGTCATTACACCCTACTTTTTTCTGTGTGCGTGCTCTAAGGGTTGGTGGAGTCAGGGTCAACTGAAAGTGCTGCTATTATAAGAGGAAATCACAAGGTGAAGCACCAGAGGAAACAATGAGCACAACACTGGAGGGGCTCTCAAGAAGGTCTGCTGTGTGGCTAAAGTAAAGGCTGAGATCACTCGACTTCTGATTCTGCCCTTTTGTAAAACACTCAGCTTAGACTTATGAATAACTTCAGCCTCTTATCATCTTTTATCCCACACTATGTAGGCATGATATCAACCCTTAACTACTCAAGTGTAGTTGAATATAACCACCGCCGTAAGCAATAATAAATGGGTTTTTATTAACTTTTTAGGGTCTTTCTTAGGGATTTTTGTCTTCTTATTTTCTTACAGGCTACTATTGTGATGAAATGATAAAAATCCACACGTTCCAATGCTCCAGCAGATGTGCATTGTTATCATTACAGTTGTCAGTTTTTGCACTGTTCTGTTTCACAATGAAAATACTGGGCCTATAAATTAAAGTGGATTAATGAAGCTTTTTGACACTAATTGGCCCAAAAGCACTCTTTCATTTCAAAGTGAAAATAAAGGCAACCCTGATTATAAGATAAACATACAGCATTTAAGGCAGGATGCAACTTCATTTCAGCAAGAGGGCAAATATATTATTATTTAGGCATTTGTTACTGACACTGTTAATAGCTACTTGAAAAAAAATGCTGTTGCGGACATACGACACTAGACAGCCATTAACAGGTCTTTGTCTAGTGCTATTACGATAACAGCTTCTGTCATTATGGTTCTGGCATCTAAGCTCTTGCACTTAGCACGAGATCTGCAGAGCTGCTCAAGAAGAAGATTTAAAGGAATAAATGAGGAATTAGCCACAGAACCAGCTGTTAATAATTAAGATTGAATGAATAAGATTGCATGAAATGGAGCTAAATTCAGATTTACTTTGGTAAATGTCGCAGCATATGATGCTTTCCCTGAACAAATCCACCTGTCCCTATCCAATCCAATGCCAATACTACTGTCTGTGATAAGCCCGTAATATGTGACTACCAATATCAGTGAAGCTCTCTTTGACAAGTCTTTAGTTGTTTTTTTTGTTTTTTTTTAAACTGAACACATTACATACAGACGTTCCTGTTAAATAGAGAGCAGAACTTCTATCCTCTCTCCTGGACAGCTGGCTTTTACAGTGTGCAGCTTGGGATATGATATTGTTGAATGTTAACAAAATAATTCTTAGGCTCAATAGCTGAAAACCTCAGGTACATATTCCATCTTAGAAAGACCAATGAAAGAATTACTTACAGGGAATTCTTTATTAAAAAACATTCCAAATTTCCATCTTGCCATCGTCAGTCCAACAACCATGCAAGGTTTTTTTCCCCTAACAGATAAATGAAATAGATGATAAAACGGTTTAGTGGACTTGGTAAATGGCTGCAAGTGTTAAGAACAAAGATGAATGAATGTAAAATGAATATAAATGACATTTCTCACCTCTCTTATACCGGCTATCAAGGTGGCATGCGTGTGGCTTCCTGTCAACTGGTGGCAGTGCCAAGATAAGTATTTGGCAGTATAAAGAAGTACTGTGCTGCAATCCCTAGGCCGTTAGAATTGCAAACTATGCCATGATAGAAAAGTCATTAACTATTTTTAGACTATACTTCTGACTGCTACTTCTTTTCTTTCTAACTAACCACTATTTCTATATGAGTTCAGAGCTAATTGGTTATAGATTAGTTTTTATTAGGCTACATGTTGTAACAACACATGACTTCTAAATATAAACATTTTGTTAAACTCTTTTGTTTTTATATTTCTAAACTTTACAGAAAGCTTACGAGATGTTCTTTGGTATTGTTTTTCGCTTGTCAGTGTGTGTTTCAGTGCTTCCGTAAAAACCCAAATTCAAATGTGATATAAATCACATGGTGTTGAATGAAAGGCTTTTTTCTCTTGGCTGCTGTAGAGCTAGCGATAGGAAAACACCAGTGCTCTGTGTTCTGCGGTGGATAATATCTGTGTGATTTTACACAGCACATGAAAAACCAGTTAGTCCAGTTGCACCGTTTACCTGTCCTGCTATTATAATAGCCAAACCCAGCCCAAGAACTGCAGTTTACTGTCACAACACTTGTTATCAAGAGTTCTCAAAGTGGATATACATTTTATGTTGCCTTTCTGAATGCCCAAGCTCCCGCTAATCTGCAATGGATTTCCAGGTTGAATGCCAAAGGAAAATAAACACTTAGCTTTGGCTTACAGTATTAGCAGATTTCTACACAGAGTTGTTAAACAGCACGTTTTAGGTTGGCAACTTATTCTAGTGAACTAGTGGGTGAGGAATTCAGGAAAAAATTGAATTTCAAAAATATCCATATTATGTATATATATATATATACTTGTTTGTTTTTTCAGGTTGAACCTTTATCTTTATTTGTTCCCTTCTGTGAACCCCCTAGTGTGTTAAAGAGACTGTGAGTGGAGAGTCAGTTATATAGGCAAATAAAAAAAATTGGGTCCTTTTTAGTTATTGTCCTTCACTGAAAAAAAAAAAAAAAAAGTTTTCTTACATTGATTAGGGCTTCTTCTGTCCCTATTAAAAATAAAATGATTATTTTCACTACAGCCTTTTTGCATTTTAGATTTATAACTGACAAGACAACAAGCACATTTTAGAATTAAACATAAAAATAAATTGTTGGTAGACTTCCTTGCCACGGCACACCTACAGTGTGTTTTCACACAGTGGTGAATTGTAGCACCTTTGCTGAAGGGGAAGAAAAATTAGAGAAAAAGGAAGATATGTAGATTAAAATAAAATTGTTTGGTGCCTGACTTTTTTCTGTCCTCCATTTGAGGAAAAGCATGGGAGGAACAAATGTAACCCCTGTCCTGATAAATGTAAAGATTTTAAGGCTACTTGAATAGGAAGAGTGAAAGTTCCCAGTTTAGCAGCTCTTCAGTGCTAAGCTGCCGAGATAAACCACTCTCTAATGTGTGAGCTCAGACTGGGATAAGGTCAGGCTTTGCCAGTTCTACCATGGCTCTTTCACACTGTGCTCTGCATAGACCCATAGGCCCCAATCTGTTACACAGCTAGACACTGACTGCAAGTTGAGAGGCATTCATGCAGTGCTTGGCACAGGGGCATCATAATGAAATTATATGCACTAAGTGTTTTGATTGCAGGAAAGACCCTTTTCAAAATGATTACATTTCTTTGATTTATTTTAACGTAGCTGAAGATTGTATTGAATCTTAAGCCATATGATAACACTCTATCCTGAGCCTCGATCATTATAAGCATGTTGACATTTTAAAAAAGTCATAGCTTTTATCGGAGTTAGAGCTGTGCCTCATCTTAGAGCTGCATGCTTTCCTCCATTGCTTTAGCCTGGCAGTATGTTAATCATTCTCTGTGAATATATAGCTCACAGAGGATGATACATTGAATAGCCAAACCAGTTATTAATGCTTTCTCCTGACTAGCTATGGTAGCTTGAAATCAGCCAGCCCACTGCAGGCTTGGACATGGAGTCCACTATTGTGCGGTGCTGCAAACTGAAAGCCTTATAAGCACAACCAGTCCATAGAAGACGAGTCTCTTGTCAATACTGATAGAGAAAACTAAATGAATTGGCTCCAATCGACCCCCTGATAAGGAACATCAATTTGGCCCAGTGAGGGCTGAATTATGATTGACATCTCGAGACTGACGCAGCTTGGAGCACATTCAACAGTATTAGAAGCAGCTGTGTGTTATCAAGGCCTCGAATGAGCCTCATACAGCCTGCTATCTATTGTAACTCTGTAAAATCATGTGACAGTCTTGCCCTCCTCAGCTGGTTTCAACAGATTTATGATTAAATTCCTTTCACTATGGTCAAATATCAACCTCCTCACCCGGCCAAGGGTCACAAAGCACTGCATGCAGTGTCTTTCTGTTTCTGTTTTTCTCCTTGTCATGTTTTCTTTGTCCACAAAAACAAAAAACAATAATATCAGAAAACACAAACAATATAGCATTTAAATGTCCATAACATACATAGAAATATATATTAAATAATTGTGTGCTTTGTATTTGAATGTATGTGTATAAAAATGTATTTAGTGTTTCAAAAATGTAAAGCCGCTAAAATGTGTCAGCGCATGACTTTGAACTTAAGGTGTTCTGTATTGATAATAAAAACTGTACTTGATGAAAAGTATCATTTTAAAACTGGTTAAAGTACTGCGTAAGTGTGCCTTTCCCCAAAAGGCTCTCTCTCATGCCAAAAAATCCCCAAAGAAAACATCTCATTAGTCTTTCAAATGATGAGTTTTGTGGCATTTCTTTAATTTTCTCATGGTCTTTCTTTGTTTGTTAGCAACCAATTAGGGAGGAAACTTAAGCACTATCTATGTTTCATCCATGGTGCAGACACATTAGCTACCACCCCCATATCTCTTCTCTTCTACTATGTGTTGGTGCCCTCCAGGCATCCCTCTGCTGGGGCCCTTAAAGAGTCCTCTGTGTCTGATCTGAGTGCACTGCCAAAGAAACATATCAGTCTTTTCTCTCTCCTCATCTCCTTTCTGGCAAGAATTTAGTGCACCTGCAGAGTTAGCCAGCCCAGAGCTAATGCAAATGAGTGTATGTCTGATCAAAGGCCTGATTAGACTGCGTTTTGACTATGACATGGCATATTAATGAGCCTGCTTCAGGTGGTATAAATGGCATACATTGTAAGTTTCCCAGAGGGTTAAATATGGTTTGACACAACCTTTGAACATGAAATATGAGTACTTTATTATTGCATGTGTTGTGTGCTGATTAAGTTTGAACAGGGTAGCTGTTGGCACAGTAGCCAGACGTTTGGTTTTGATTGTGTAAATATACCATAGGCTTCAGCTGACTAGATGACCTTCACCCATTCGGCTAACAAGCCCTATGTGCACAGTGCTGTGTGCACTCTCTTAGTGCTTGCTGGGCAAACCCAGTTTTACACTAGTTCATTAGAATAGCAAGCAACAGAAAGGGACGCTAATTATTCAGTTGAAGCTTAAAATTATGCTGCTTTGCCCACCAGATGGATGGTGTCCTCCTTTCCATGGTTACCTTAAATGTGATGTTGTTATGTGCCAAAGGCATACCATAGGGTTATATAATACTGTGTGGGACTCAGCAGTTTAATCCACCCTTTCACCCTTACCCCCAGAAGTCCCAGTGAGACACAGGGAGACCTTTAGTGATGTGATGACATCTGAAAGTCCATTTATCCAGCCAGAGGTCAGAATATAACAGCAAAATATTTGCACTGACATTTGGGTGGGATATTTTTCCCTAGTTGTGTAGAATTACAGGGAGTTTCTGATATCTGCTTCCATAGAACATTCTGAGAAGATGCTGTGTTTTTCTGCCCTACAAAATATCATATTTTGTCCCTCAGCTCTCGCTGCATGCTATTATTTTCCAGCTGGTCCTCTCACATGAGGTCGGAACATTTGCCCCTCCCTGACAGTTAACAGGAAACGTATCACAATAGAGAATACAGTCATCCAACCCAAACCTGCCATGGCTGGTCTGTTTGGCATGTGTTTATTAATTCCACTAGAGAAGATTGCAGGTCTCTGCATCATTAAGTTGTCACTGTCAGCAGTATCTAGGCCATTGTTCATACAGTTTTTAGTCAATTAACAATAAGGCTGACTTAATGAACCCCTTTGCACAATAATCAGTTTACTGTGCTTTAGGCAGCTGATGGGCAGCAGCTCAGGATTTTGCTTCCGTCAATAAGAAGTAGAATTACTAGGACAGCATTTGGGGCAACAAGTGACACCTGGTTTGTTTTGTTACTGAACTTGGCTGGGTTTTCACAGCACCCCTCCGTCCATTCTCTTTACCCTTTTATTAGTTCTTCAGCACTCTCCCTTCTACAAGAAGTGCTATTATGTGTGAATCACATCACCGGGGGTTGGCATCTACTTTGCTTCCTCAAACAGAGGGGTTTCTGGAAACAAGAGGGCCAAGCTATCAGCTCATTCAGCTGCAGTCATCAGTGTTAAGACACAAAATTTCCTCCCACCATAACGGCCCTGTGTGATCAGAGCTCTCTACAGCTGCTGTTCGTCCAGCACTGTTTTCCTGTCCGTGACATGAGAGTCTTGCAGATGGAGGGGTGTCAATTGAAGGACACAGCGGTTATCTTGTTGGGCTCAGAGGATATAGTGTCATCCCCTGCATTCCCAGGGCCCGGAGAACAGGTTCTGTCTCTTCGTGTGCACAGTGCTGTTACCCGAGAAGTCAGCGAAGCTCATTGAGTGACGAGTCTCGCTGGTTCCCAGTGCTGATATCCACTGTACGACTTCATCCTTTCAACCAAACTTTTCCTTAGTAAGAGCTAAACCAGAGAGCAGGGAAACATCTGCTCATCCTGTATATTGCTGCTGGCACAAAATGTCATTACTAACAGACAGACATTCTCACTGGCTTTATTTTATAAACTTTGTTGAAGTCCTCTCATTTCACACACCCTTTTACTAGTACACCTTCCTCAGGTGAATCTGAGGTAATAACCAAAGGGACCAACTTATTCAGCCTGACCGTGCTAGTGTGATTGTCATATGATGTATTTTATCATTTTGTATCCAATATTTAAGCATACAAACAATAATTTGGAGATATTTGTAATTTTACTGCATTTTGGTTAATAATTAAAAGATGTTTCTTTATCTTTCTCCTGTTTGGTACATATTGCCTATATAATCATTTTGTAAACCGATGGCTTTGCATGCATGCATGAGGATTCATGCTCACCCTTGACCCTTTGACATGCTTAATCCAGCTTAAACAGGAACCTCTGGTACCAATACACTGTAGAGTTTGTCTGAATTTTACTACTGGGAGGCTGATCTGTGTCTTGTCAGCCTTTTCTGAAATGGTAAGCATCCACCTGAGATTCTTGCTTGCTGTCAGAAGGCTTGTGATCTCTCTTTTTTTTTTTTTTTTTTACATTTTTCTTTTCTCCCCTTAAGGCCTCTCCCTCCATCCGTCATGCTCCAGTGGCTGGTAAGGGCTATTTGAGCAGATGGGGAGCAGTGAGACTGAGACTGAAGGTTGGAGAGCACAACATGATGGCCCTTTGACATGCTGCATGAGATATGAAATTGACCCACCCCCTGTCAACTCCTCACACACCCAGCAATATTCAAATTAGAGTTGCAAAATTATTCCTTCCTCTCTGTTCTTTCTCTATCTTTGTATTGTACAGGGGTATACCTTCTGCACTGATCAGGCCTGTTTGATGTTAAGAAATTCTATTTTTTTATTATTTTTTTTATTAGATATGTTAAAATCTTCATTGATATTAGGTGTTACATTATTTTCCTTGGAACTGATCTAGAAGAGACAGACTTAAGTACTATTCTTATTATAGAAAGCTACTTTTTTGTCTGTTGTGTGAGGGTTTTTGTGAATGTGAACGCATTAAACAAGTCTGTAATCTGTAACAGCAGCCCACTTACTGATATACGTGATAGAAGTCCTCATGTTGTCCCCAAATTACGCATACACTGACACTTGCACCCTCCAAATTTAGTTTTAGTAAGGATTTTCTCATCCTCTCCTCCACTGTTTTCCAAGCTCTCAGGCTAACCAGGATTTAGGAAACCTTCCCAATAGTATATATGTAAAAATGGTAAAAAATAAAACTTTATCCCATGTGATGGACCAAGACTAGGGCACCTACAGACCACTGTCAGGTATTGGTCCGGGTCACATTTCTGGTCCTTGATAACTTGAGAAGCTTCCATGCGGACATGCATAATTTGAAAAGCTATTTTAGTGGATTTTCTCAAAAGAAAATCAATGCTTAAAATGACACTTGGACTATCCTTTTAGCTACATTAAGCAATAAGTTTAGTAGTTTAGTAGTTTTTCAACTTTGAGAGGTGTTTATCTGGGTAAAAGCTCTTGTACATTCTTCACAGTTGGCTGTACATCTCCAGTATAATTCCCCATGAGATTTTCAGTCAGGAGTGTTGTTTTGGTACAGCAGAGCAGTTTATCAACAGCTGTATATTCAGTGTTTCTCTTATCAAACACCATATAAATGGTATATGCCAATGATATGCAACTTCTGGCCTCCAATAGGGTGGCAGGTGGCTACCAAAACACCCACTCACACGAAAAAAGAAACAAAAAATTATGTCACTTGGCTGTTACTTGGGAAGTTGCATATTATATTATCAGTGATGCGCGCAGAAGCAGAGACACTTGTTTCTGCGGAAATTTCATGTCCACTTTGACGCTGCGACTGGATTTGCTGCTGCGACTGGATTTGTGAGGACAAGTGAGCAAATTTGATGAAACAGGCAATTCAATGAAAAATGGACAGATACACTTGCTTTTATTTTGCCACCTCATACCAATCCTAAACCACTGTGTTTAATTTTCCAACTAATAAATAGCTGTATGCATGGTTGCTAATATCAGCCACCATCACATGTCAAAACATGCTAGCGTCAGTACTGCGTTTCTGCCTGGCAGCGCCGCAAGAAAAGATTACGACTTTGACTTTATCTTATTGTGCCACATCAAACCTAATGTTTTTAAATTTGACATGATAAATATTATTAATGTTTGTTTGACACATCCTACGTCCACAGCCTCTGGTGTTGGCTGTTGCAGCTTGTGTCAGAGGAGAGAATGTTGGCTGTGAGACTTAAGTCACTGCATGGACAATTATTAGTCCTGCCATTAAAGTTTTCCATACTGTGTGTGTGCGTGCGTGTGAGGGTGATCACTCATGTGTGTCAGTGTTTGTGCTTAATGTGAACTGAGCAGATGTGATTAGCTTAATGCCAGGAGCAAGGAGCATTTAATGTGTGTAAGAGTTGCCTTCCTTAAGAGATGAAGTTCAAGCATTGCATGTGTTCTTTTGTGTGCGAGACAGAGAGTGGAAACAAATGTAGACATATGATTCCTACATTTTTCAATGTAGAATTAGTTTCTGGTTAGTTCCTGCGAGTGTTACAAAACACAATTTTGTTTACCGCTTTTAAAGCACATCGGGATCCAGTTTCTAGTTTTGCATTAGAGCTCCTTCAAAGAGCCAGTCGGCCATCCTCAGATGAAGCCCTGCTAGTTTTTACTGTTGAGGCTGAAAACTAAAGGCAGTCATGCCTTTTATTTGATCTTACCATCCTGCATCTTCATTATCGTTGCTTTTATCTCATTTGAGTCTTTGCCACACACTACATAATTCCAGCACTCCCTATGAGCTGGACTGCTTCTGGGAGTCTTCCAATTTGCCATGTGGTAGAGAGAGAATCGCAACAGAAGGTGAACCTTAATTGCTGTTATTGTGCCAGGATTCCTCCTGGCCTATATTTGATTATTCAGACCAGGCCTATCTCATTACCACTGTTGTATAAGTATGACAAATGATAGGGGTTCATTACATGAAGAATTTGGGATTTTGTCAGCACCAGTCTATTTGTGACTGTACACATGTACCCCCTATTTCCCTCATTAACTATTGCAGCCTCAGCTTGTGTGGCCATCAGTGTACCTCAGCCTGGCCTTGATCCAGACCAAAGATAATCCCCAAACTCATCCAAGCTGAGATGAAAAACTAACCATCCTAAATGGTGGCTGAAAACCTTTTTGAGGAAAATGGGTATCGTCCTGCAGGCTATAACACCAGCATATATTTAGTGAGTGCGTTTTCAGTTGTGCTTTGGCTTTCGCTTAAAGTGTAGAAGTAGAAATCCTGGGAATGTAACGCACTCCTCTAGTCTTTGGTAATCAACATATTGTGGAGCAGTGTATACAGTAGGTCTCCCGCAGAGAGCTGAATAATCTCAATACGAGAGTTGAACGGAAGTTCAGTAGCACGTTGATGTGAGTTCCCTTTCAAAGATGTGTGTCTTTGTACATGAACTACTTAAATTATGCTTCTCTTTTCAGCTCAAACAGTATTCATTTAATAGGAATCATTTGTACTATATCACAACATCAGTAGAGAAGGGATGTTTTAGAAATCCCTGCACTTAACTTTGAAAAGATCAGACTGGGAGGCAAGGTTGTTTCTCAACACCTCCAAAAAGCCTGTCATCATTCCACTAATGATTGCAGGTGAGAGAGGTGGGTGAAGTTACGCAGGGTAAGGAAGTGGAGCAATTTGCTTTGATGTAAAAAACGGTCTGCAAATTGGGAAACAAGTGGACAGTCATCTGTGCAACAGTGAAGTTGGACAAATGTCACTGTTGAATTAAATAACTTGGTAAAAGATTTGTACTGGCAGTTTATTTGTTTGTTTGTTTGTTTGAAGTTCTGGAAACAATTACATCCTGTTCCAAAGGCATCTGTAGTTATAAAAGGCTCATTGTTAGGTAACAAAAACATAATGTTTGCTATATTCAGGTGAACATACATATAAATATTACATTCTATTTCTGTCAATAGATCCTTCTTAATGTTGCACACTGGACCTTTAACAACAAGGTATAATCTTCATTCAGTATGTCACTGACAGTGTTCCCTCTTCTTTCCACAGATATCATTGACAAGAGTGAACTGAAGCCGTTCTTCGAGAGCAACTGTTCTCAGATTTATTTTATCTTTTATGAAAATTTCATTACACTGGAAAGCAATTTAAAACAAAAAGGTGAGTACAAACTTTGTTTTTTTTTTCCTTTTTGTGAACTCAGCACTCACTAGTTGACCCTCACCTTCAATTGTGGTTCAATAATTAACCCTTAACCTGCTCTCTATGGTAAGTGTTGAGGGTTTATCTCCGTCTGCACCACATTTACAGAGCAATGAACATAAGCCCATAGAGAGGCAATTTCTGGATGTGTCCAGTATAACTCAATATGTTGAGTCTAACTTCAACACCATTGGAGGTAGGGAGATTAAGTCCCACTGGGAGTGTGCTCTCATGGTAACACAAGTTCCTTTTGAATAAGTGTTCACGAAATGGCCTTTATTATTGTTACATTATAGATGTGGCTAATGCAGTATAGCTCCTGGCTATGTGTTTAAAAACCAATGTACTTTCCTTGTGTTTCAGGGAACAAATCTCAAAGGGAGGAGCTGGACTCTATCCTCTTTATTTTTGAAGTAAGTCATTTGTTTTCTGTGTTGCTGTCTATATGTCTGATTTAAACCGATAGCTGCTGCAGCCTCAACCTGTTTACTGCTGAACTCTGGGGTGGGACCATTGTTTCCATGGTGCCATACTGCATCTCTGTCCACTTCCTGAGTTTGCCTCAGATAGCCTAGAAATTAATTGGAGATTGTTCATAAAAAGCCTTTCCTCAAACATTTTCCAGCCTGTGATTTTGTGGGAGAGCTTTCAGTTTATTTCTTGTTTTTAAAACCTAGGTGTGCATGCAAATCAGAGGAGGTATGTCTTGTGTCTGTGCGTGTGCAACGCATTGTTGCCTCTATGGCTCCTCCCTCTGTTTTTCTGAACACTCTTATGTTGCACATGCAGGTTAAAGTCCCTTACCTTGTTCTCCCACCTGACTGCAAAGGCAGCTCCAGTTTCCAATACAAACAGTCAGCTCTCCAGTTACATTTGCTCAGGGCAGGGCTGTAAGGATGGCAGCAGATGAAAAAAAAATGGAGGGCAGTCTGCTTGTCCCTCTTTATACAGTTTGCCTTGCCCTAGTTTTCCTGCTCACCTGGGACCACTGTGCAGGAGTGTTCCTTGCATTTTTTCTGACATAGAGTAGGGCATTGTTAGGGGGATTTAAGTGTAACTTTGGATTGAGGCCCACTGACCGATTAATTTCTTTATCACTGTAGCATCAGGCCAGACAGTGCTGTTGTCTGTCTTTATCTATGTTTTCCTAATCCTAATACGGATTCCTGCTGGTAAGGCATGTCTTGTACAACTAGGACTCCATTTTTATGTTATCACATTACATCTTTTTGGTTCTATCTGGGTGATGATTTATGTACGTATTAGTACATTTTAGTGCTTATAAGTATGTTGTTTTTCTGCTCATTCAGGTTGCCAATATTTTCTTTTTTTCATTAACACTGGAGCTCCCAATCTGTTTGAGAAATGAATTGACTAGATTTCCCTCCAGTTTTCTCCACTCCCTCCCTGCTTGCCTGTCCGCACACATCCAGTCATCTAACCTGTAAATAAAGCCTGGATTCATGCCTACTACATATTTATGGAATCATTTTTTCAAAAAGAACTAACATTGAAAGCAGCTTAACCCTCATTTGTCCCCTTTTAGCCCCTGCCTGTGACGACGTGTGCTTTTACCCATGCACTGAGAAGATAAGCTTGCTTTGAGTGCTGTGTACAGGACAGATACAGGGTCGCTTTGATCCTGAGCTCCGCTACACTCTGCAGACTTTCTCTTTAAGGCATATTATATTAGGCAAATGTGATTGTGAATATATCAATGGATACATTTGTGCTCACAAACATGCACTGCTAATATTTATCATGTTATCCCAGAGGTTATATTATGTAACACGGGGACATGAAAAATGCGGTAAAAGATTAACTAATACATTATTTTGAGGCAATGGAATTGTGTATCCAACAAGCACAGCCATGCATAGCCTATGCTGAATTGAAATTATGTCATTTTTATCATAAACCAAATTTCTCAGGACAGGATAGTGTTTGTTGTAAATGTGTATCATTTGTTTTAGTCACAGAAGTCAACCAACCAAAACATAAGCCCTAGCAGCCCTTGTTCAAACAGCCTCAGAGTGGTGTGTAGAGTAAGCTATGAATGGATAATGGCTGGGACAAAAGCCATTTTGTGCTTTGCAGCACTCTGTAATGCTGTACGACAGGTTAAGAAGAACAACACAGCTCAATATTGCTGCCCCGCTTATTCTGTGTGAGAATTTCCCTGGAAAGCCACAGTTATATCCCCGTTACTCTCCAGGCACATGGGAAATATAGTCCTCCTCACTCTCCATCACCTGAGTCCCTCCTTGCATTCAAATTTGGCTGACCTATACAGTACATGTCTCCAATGTGTGTGTTTGCTTTGAGCTCACTATGTGGGGATTACTTTGCTGTCATGATGAGGTATGTGACCCCTTTTTTCGTGGGTAGCTGTGGGGGAGTAGGATCCCCAACACTGAGCCCGTTTGAGTAATGGATATCTAGAGGGGGTAATCTTTTGTCCCTCCCCCTAAACTCTGCTGGAACACCCCACCCCCACCGCCACCAGCAGCCATCGCCATTCCCTTCCAGGATCTCTTTGTGTCTGCTGCCATGAAGGGATCGACCATGGCACCATACGATGCTGCACCAGAGCTGACAGAGATGAGAAACTTGATCTCTGTGAGAATGTCTCTCCTAATCATTTATATCACATATTGTCCTAATATTGTTGTACTGTAGGCTTAGGTCCTAGGTCCTAGGTCCTAGCTCCGTACACATAAAACCAGAGTTGACCAACGTATTCACTTACAATTTAGTACTGAACTGTTAGTATCATCACAAAAAAGGTCCTTGTTTTTTTAATTTGTTTTTATTAGAAGTTTGGCTCTCACTCACCCCCAAATCATCACTGGTGCTTACTAACTATTTTTGTAGAAGTTGCATAATGAGTTCAGTGGAGACCTGTGTGTAATCAAGGTGTACAGAGTGTAAACACTAGTAGATGGAACTGCTTGTTAGTCAATACCCTGATAAAAGCTTGTGAAGACAAAGGAACATTCTAACAAATTTAACAACAAGCCCAGTGAGAACAATATGGAAACGTTTTCAAGGTGCTGCATACTCCAAACTATGATAATGTTGTGGCGCCCGGATAGGTCACCTGGTAGCTGGCGCCTCATGTATAAAGGCTGAGTCCTTGCTGCAGCGGCCATAGGTTTGAGTCAGCCCTTTGCTGTGTGTCGTCCCTCTCTCTCCCTCTACCCCCTTTCCTGTCTAGTAGGGGATCAATCTATCTAATTAAGATAGCCCCCTCAAAAAATCATAGAGAATGGAAAGAATATTGTGTAGCTGTAAATCTGTGTAGAAAGGCCATCCTCAGAATCTGAGTGTGAGATGGTTAAAAGTAAGAAGATGGACCCCAGAAGCCTATGACGGTTCTGAGAGAGCCACAGGAGTCTGTGACTGAAGTGGGAGCGCTGACAGTATATATAAGGGTGCGAGGCAGTGTGCATACAACAGCACAATTGCCTGGTACCTGACCAGCCACAGCTCAATAGCAGAGTGGCAAAGAGAACGTCTATTAAGGAAAAACATTTTTGACTAGTGTTAGCTAGAAGGCACATGAGATACTAGATATAAAGGTTTTTTTGTCTGATGAGGCCAAAATTATGTTTAGTAGAAACCAAGCTTGACACATCAGCAAAAACACACCATTCACACCACAAAGCAGCATGGCGGTGACAGCACCATGCTGTGGGGATGCTTCACTGCAATGGGGCCTGGAAGGCTTGTGAAGGTAGAGGGTTAAATGACAGAGAAACCCTAGTGGGAAATGCGTGCAAGAGAACTGCAGCTTGCATGTCAGTGACCCCAAAGGGTTGAATACTCAAGCAATCTACTTATGCATAGTTCAGTTTCCATGGTAATTTTGTTTTTTTATTTAGGTGTGTAATGATAAGTATTCATGTGTTTACAAAGATAGTTTTAGAGAATCAGTTTTAAGCAGTTGTGTGAGACAGTGTTGTCTAATATTGTATTAGAGTCAAGATGTATTCTTTCTAATCACTCTCTCGTGTTGCACAGATAATTTCCAAGAAATGTAAGTACGTAGGGAGAAAGATACTGAAAAACTGTTGTAGACGGACACAAATTATACAGAGTGTGTTTGTGTAATTCAGGGAATGAAACCAGGCGAGACCTGTCACAAGACCATATTCTCAGGCCTTAAGGGACTCCAGTTTGTTTATACTCCCGTATGACTGTAGTTGACTGCTTACTGTCTGAAAGCAGTTCGATCCTGGTGCCACTGAGGTTGTGGGACAGGTTAAGGGACAGCCCTGGGACAGCTCTGGGACCAACAAAACTCAGAGGGAAGTCTGTGCGTATCCACTTTCTGTCCAGGATGTGACCTCACCCATGACCCGTAGTCTGCCATCCGGACCTGACTCAGCATTCTGAATTCCCTATATCATCCTCTCTGTAGAAGCCCTTCATCTAGATTTGACTTTTTGTGTTGCCTTAAATGGGTAATTATGCTTATTATATCTAGTAAAACTTATTTTTGATGCATATGCGTGAATTTAATTCAGCTCAGCTGCATTAATTGTTGTTTGTAGAAGATGAGAAGCTTTTGACTGATTTACCTTCACATAACCAGAAAGGGTTGAGATTGAATTCTAAACGTGTCCTGGTCAAAAAGAACCCCAACCGACACACGGGAAAACATTGGGGGGATCGCCTAAAGCAAGATGTTGCTATTTCATTCTAAATAATTACATTTGCCCAGTTAAACTAGAACCTTAACATTCATAAACGAAGACCAATTAAGGAGGAATGAGGCATATTATTGTTCACCTGCCATAGCTCATGGCAAACAAAGGATTGATTATGACTTGTTCATTTAAATGCCACACTGAAATGCACCAGTTAAGTGCTGTGTATGTAAATGGTCAGTAATTAGTAAGTTGGTAATTAATAACAGTGTCACTCTGTGTCATGAACACCATCAACAGTCTTGTTCTGTCTGGTGTAATGACATCATATTCCTCTTGATGTACATCTTAGGTTGAATCACTCATACTCTCCTTTAAATGTTGGCTAATATGTTGCTGAAAAATTAACCCAGGGCCATTTAGCTAAGTGATTTCTTTTCCTCGCTCCTTCCTCTTTATGCAGTCTGAGATATGACTGATAGTTCACCAGCAGGGGTTATTAGTTAATGCATAAATGCAAATTTACTAAGTGTAGCTTCAGTCTGCACATGGGACAAGCTGAATAAATGAATGCAGATGTCTGAGGCTATGTTTTAACCTGCTCTTATGTTTAGCCTTCAAATATGTGCTGTTTTAAAGTTCTGCTGCACATTTTATAGATAACTATATTTTCACTTTGTTAACATGTAAAACATGTAATGTAGCTTTCTTCCTTGGTCCTAAACTATTCATGCTTAATCATGAAAATAATATAAAAATGGTCTTTTGCCTGCTGCAACTTGGCTTTCACTTAGAGCAAAGAGGAAAACCTGGCAGCTGAGTTAACTGGCAATTGGAGACCTAAGAAGGGAGTTGGATTGCACTCTGCTGCTGCCACCCACTGGCTGCAGAGGAGAATGGAAGCATCTTAGTCATTTGTTCATAGTTAAGCTATTTTGGTGGTTGATTCGAAAGTAATACTCTTTTTAATAAAAACCTGCTTTAAATTATATTATATTTTCAGGTCATATGAGAAATGACATCTTACATTTACCAAGACCTTTACCAACAAATGATCAGGGCAAGCTAAGAAATTTGGTTAGCATGTAAATAAGCAGTCTGGTTTGGTCTACACTGTTTACATTTACCTTCCAAAGCATTTCAAACAAAGCAGGTGTGTAACTGACGTTTTTCTCGCTCTGTACATGAAGCCTACAAGTGATTTTAACATTAGGGTCTCATTGTCTTTGTAGGCCAAAATATGTTATGCTGTAACGCAAAGATAATACTCATTAACTTTATTTCACATTATTCCCTACTACACTATTTACTGTGTTGTACGAGTTTTGTGATTGACATACCACTCATTTTCTGATGCCTGTGTGTACATCTTGTGTAAGAAGGTTTGCTGTATGTTAGGTTACTCTTTGTGTCTCTCTTGAGATTTCATTGTCCTCCAAGTTGTATCAACCTAAACAATATGTAAATGATTACATTTCCTCTGCATGTCTGTAGCTGCTGTCAAAAAGCCCTTGTAGACCACCTCTTGGAGAAGTGTATTCTGTGCCATGTTCAGGCCCTGCGACTGGAAACCTAAGTGCGGATCATGTAAATGTGTGAAGGCTGTAGTTGTACCATAGTAATGCCCCCATCGTTATGCTGGAGTATGGCTGCAGATTAGAGTAACTCCACCAACCCTCAGTCTAGCAGACTCGGCATTCGCCTCATATCAGCCAGTAAATTCCTCATTGTTGCGCCCGCCATTCCAGCTCCACAGGGAGTCTTTCTGAGCTAGCTTCTCCATCTCATTCCCACTCTCCCATCCTGGTGCTCTGTAAGGAGAGAGAATGACAGTGTTATTGTGTTTGCTCGCACACACACACACACACACACACACACACACACACACACACACACACACACACACACACACACACACACAGGGAAAGGCTTAAGCAGGCTACCCTGCTGTGTTACCGCCTAGCATAATGCATCTGCTGCCCCAAGGAGACAGAGTGAAGGAGGCCAGTACAGAGCCTGTACTGAGATGTAATAATCCCATGCGGGATCAATAGTGAGGTGCAGCCACATGCCTGTACACGCATACCATCACGTCTGTGGATCAGAGAGAAATGGAACAGCACAGATAGTTATCCAGCACCCCCTTTAAGTGATGTATGTCTTTCAGTATCTCCGCTGTCACTGATAATGACAGGGATTTAGTCTCAGAGGACAAGAAGGGAAAGTTAAAGATGGAGGATGACAATGGAAGAAGGAAGTTGTTGACAAACTGAGACACTTAAAGCATGAGATGAGTCTGGACCACCACAGCTCGCATAATGTGGACAGCACAGGTCAAATCATATGCCATCTTCCAGAGCAATTCTAATGTGGTAATAGGAGGTTTTTACAACAGAAAGTGATTGTTTGGTTGTCTACAACAATAGAAACAAGCCAACTAATAACTGTATTATGTGAAAATGAGCCAAATTTTTGTTTTTGTGTTTTTATAATTTAAAAATGTCAAATGTCTTTTTATATAGCTACCTAACATTTGTATCTACTCATAGTTCATCTGCTTCAGGTTATGATTAAATAATTTTATCTACAGCCTTAACTGTATGGCTTATAAGCAGATTCAATATTCTCCCTTGCCATAACATAATGCTCTATAGTCTCTGAAGCTTTCACTCATACTCATATTTTTGACTTTACATCTGTGGCTGGAGTGGACTTAATCTTTGTAGTTCTTTCATGGACATTTTTCTGCATCCTCTGTATCCTTCTCTTGCTTGTTCTCTTACTCTTCAGGGCAGATGACCTATTTATCATGCCGGCCAGAGTTGGTTGTCTGGTTGAGTGGGTCAGAGCTGCATACGTAAAGCAGTAAAGGATAGACTTGACCTCTACATTGCAATCATGAAGTCTTATTGGGTCAGTGATTAGGATTTGATGAGAAGTGAGCCATTGGGGCATCAGTTGTTCACAGTGCACTGATTATTAACTAGCCATGCATGCACGCGCACACACATCTGCCGCCCCCCCGGCCTTTTTTTCATCCCTCCAGAGGGACCCAGTTAACCTGTCGCTGCATTCAAGAATAATGATAGGCTGCTGAAAGGTTAGAGCGCTCTAATTGAGTTGTAAAGCGATTGTTGGGGAGGTGATGACATTTCGCAGTGCTGTCCTGTGTCAGAGGGATCTGCAGACATGCTAGGCCAAGTGGAGGGAAAGGGCAAGGACACTGCATTCCTTAAGTGTATACGCCTTTTTCAAAACTGTGCCACTCTGCAAAACAAAGTCAGTTGTTGTGTCCACCATCTTTTATTTTACGATCAAATAAAGATAATAGGCTGCAATTAACACTTGTTTCCATTACTGTTTAATCTACCAATTATTTTCTTGATTCACTGATTCATTGCTTGGTCCTCAAAATATCAGCGAATAGTAAAAATAGTAGTAGTAATAGTAAAAGTGGCGTCCTCAAATGTGTAGCTTTGTCCGACCAACAGCCCAAAACCCATATATATTGAAATTTACTATCATGAAACAATAATAAAAACAAAAAGCACAATACAAAAAAATTGTTTTAATGATTTACCAACAGTTCGACATGACAGTCTTTTACGTGATATTAAAGGACAAAACAGCTCATCAGACATTACATAGATAAGACACAGGTGTGCTCTATCATGAGGAGGAGTGTCCTCAATGACATTTGCATGTTGTAGAGGAGGAGCAAAAAGCTGCCTATTACAAAAACATGTAAATATTAAAACAACATACATAGATGGATGTTTTCCATTTTTGCATACAATTAATTCCTCTTCTGTTGATCGACTAAATGAATAATTGTTTCAGCTCTAAAGCTTTACATCACTTAAGTAAAGCCTGGAGCTAGTCAGTGCTTAGTTTGGTGGATGAAAAGGGCCCTACTGTGTAACCTAATGCAACTATTATGCTATTGCTATTACTGAAATGTACCAAATATCCACTTACTAAATCTAATCATAACCTTTTCCTTTTTTTTTTTTCATCAGAAAATTCTACAACATCTGCCTGAGAAAATCTACAACCGATGGCAGTTTCACAGTATAGGTATGTATTGGTAACTGTTTTCACCGTATGAAATACTTGCACTACCTTGAATGCTAAGCTTTGTCTCTACGTTACACCTGACAGGTAGTTACATACTGTGTATATGTCTTCCCTCTCTATGCTTCTGTAACCTTTAAGATACACTTTTGGACAAAAAAATGTCACCACAACCATGCTAAGCCTTCCAAAATGAAGAGAAAATAATTAGTCTTAGAAGGGGATGTAAATGGGAAATGCAAATGAGCACTTCATTTGAAATGCAAATAAGTAATTGAATTATGCTGGCATGATTTCAGTCCCACACAAAAAAAAAAGAAAATCCTTGCAGGAAGCGATAACCCCAATTATAACTGTTGTTTGTCAGCCGTTGGCAGCAGCAGTCCAGGTCTAGATCACTTTTGCAGATTGGCCTTCCCCTCTGGCTTGTAATTCCAAATATCAAGACTCATCTGGCTTTGGATGCCCCAGACAAATTCACCTTTTTTGTCAGTCATTGGACAACAAATCCTCACAGGTTTAAGTCTGCCTCTTGGCCTTTTCCTGGACTCGCATAGAATTTTCTTCGACACTCATCAGTTCATGTGTCACTGGTCAAGATGCTGTGCTGTGACTATGTACTTCTTTGTAGAACGTGTGGTGGTAGCTCGAGAGCTTTTCACCATACCAGAGTTTTAATTGAATTCCTAAGATAACTTTTTCTTTCAGATAAGTTTTTATCACATTCTATGTACAGTAGCATTGCCGAAAGGATTTTTACTGCTCTGGAACATTTGACACAGACCATCAAAAGCTGAAGAAAATCCTTACACCTTTTATCATCCTTTGTCTGCTTCTAATTCCTTCAGTCCTGATCCCAAAACACGTGAAAGGATTTCTTTACACCTTTATGTGTCCAACATAAAAAAAATTTGATTTAACCTGATGAGAAGAGAAAAATAAAAGTGCCAGAGAAAGATACTTGGAAAATAACTCACCAAATTCTTCATGGCTACCACTGAAATTTGTGTTGGTCGAATAACACAGTTAAGAACCAGTATAAGAACCAGCCAGAATTTTTCTCACATCCCACAAGGACTCCATAAGAACAGTGCTATCTGCAGGCTGTCAAGAGTATGTATGTAACACGCGCACGCACGCACACACACACACACACACACACACACACACACACACACACACACACACACACACACACACACACACACACACACACACACACACACACACACACACACACACACACACACACACACACACAAAGAGACCTTGTACGCCCAAGGTATTTAGCAATCAGAGCAATGTCTCATTTGATTACAGTGGAACCAGACTGCCTTCACAAATGCATGTCGCTGCCAACTGATGTTAATTTTCATCAGGAAAATCTGAAGCCTCGCCACTCTCCCCACTAGTTTGTCAGAACCACCCATCAAGGTCACTTTGTCTCAGTGGAGATGAAAAGCAGGTCCCTCCCTGTCAGCCATTTGTTGTTTTCTGCTTGTGGCAAAACAAAAGTTTTTGACAATTGCGCTTTTTTCGTTCTTCCAGGTTCTATCCTGAAAAAGCTTTTACACACTGGAAATTCATTCAAGGTAAGTGCTGTTTTCATTGGCACAAGATATAGAAAGAATCACTATCTTCCAGCCACGTGATACACTATATTGCCAATAAAAATGTTAAAGTCACATTTAGCTTTAAAGATGATTAGAGTTAGCCTCTTTTAATGTGTCAATCTCCTTCTGTCTAGATCCGCTGTGAGGGGATCCGTCTCTTCCTGCTGTGGCTGCAGGCCCTGAGGGACAACTGTGCTGAGGAGCAGTTCCTTATCTTTGCCTGTCTGGTGCCAGGATTCCCTGCTGTGCCCTCCTCCAGAGGGCCCTGCACCCTTGACACCATCATTTACAACCCCTTCTCCAACCCGCCTGATGGTGAATATTCATGCCTTTGCATGTGTGAATTTATAAAGACACAGATTCTGAGACATTCATAGAGTCAGTGTTGTGAAAAACATACTAAACTGATATCAGATTGTGTAGGTTTTTAGGGGAGAATTCTTTTGCCTAAATTTAACTTACGGTCTTTGTATTTGTCTATCTGAGCAGCCAAGGTGGTGCCTGAGGAGATTACCCCACTTGTTCCGGCTGTGGTCGGAGAAAAGGTTGCAGATGACCAGACCTGTTACATCCTCGAAACCCTGCTCAAGTACATGGTCATCCAGGTAATAACTAATAATGATAATAATTTTTTTAATTAATTTTTTTGTTTTTGTTTGATGGTGTTACTTTTGAATGCTTTATCCTCTTGTCCTTGTTAGTTTTAGACCAGTTTATACAATTGAAATGATTGAATCCATAATTTGTAACAGTTAGTTAGTACCCTATTAGGAGCAGTCTTTATATATATATATATATATATATATATACATCATAGTAAAAATTCCTCACCTGTAAATGGAAAATATCCCACCCACTGTATATTTTGGTTACTCCGTGTATTTGTTGTCATGGCCATGGTTTGTTGGTGTGAGTGCTTAGTTTGGTAATCCCTGTCTTGTACAACAATAAGATGGAAAACTTAAGTACACTGTCAGTTGTTAAGTGTGTAAAGTTAGTCTGTTATTCTTGACCTAGCTCAAAACATTTCCTTCTATAGACTTTTCTTTGTTAGAGAAACCTTCAAACTATTGCGTTGCAAACAATATACTGTCACTATCTGAGCTATGCTGGAACCATCTCCTCTTCATGTAGCCTGACCTTGTCTGCCTTTGTGCTCTGTCTGCCAGGCATCCAGTTTAGAATGGAAGAACAAAGAGAACCAGGACACAGGCTTCAGGTTTCTGTTCAGCCTTTTCAAGAAGTACTACCTTCCACATCTATTCCCCTCCTTCACTAAGCTTACAAATCTCTACAAGCCTTTATTAGGTAAGCTGACATATATCATCTAAGATATACAGTATATTTGCCTTCATACTGAAGCCTAAATTTGATTCATACAGCTTGGGCTCTGCACAAAATAAGTGACTTTGCCAAAGGGGGATGGCAAAGTTGGTATACTTTATACTACAGGTAGGAGCTTTTGAAGTACAGCAAGCTACCCTTTTCAAGTTACTTTGCTAATCCTATAATGTTAATTTATAGTATACCCTCAGCTCCTTGAATTCAAGTGCTGAGTGGAGGCTTCCAGTTATAAAACTGCTCATAATTAAAATGTGAGTTTTAAAAAATGCAGTAACTATTTAGGTCAAGTAGTAACTACAAAAACAAATCTGTTTTTTGTTTACAAGAAAGAATGATGTCTCATGTGTGCTGTTGTGAGCAATATAATATCAATGTTATAAATAATGTACTGATCAATGTCAAAGTTTAGTGGTTGAGTGAGCAAATTTTTATTCAGCTGGAAAAACTCTCAATACCTTCCACAGCAAGACATCTGGAGTTGACATTTAATATATCTCTCTTTTCTATTTTCCTCTTCTCTTTTTGTCCTTATTTTAAACCCCTCCCTCTGTCACTATCCTTTACTCTTCCTACCACTGCATTGCTCAATTAGACCTCCCCCACCACAGACCAAAACCCTTGTATGTGCCAGTGACGCGGAACAATGAGAGCACCTTCTGCACCAGGGACCAGTACCTGGCACCCCGTGTGGCCTTCATCACTTGGCTGGTCACCTTTTTCCTGGAGAAGAAGTATGTCAGCAGTGCTGCTGCAGCGCAGAGCGCCAAGAACGGCACTGAGGTCATTCCCAAACTCATCCAGGTGAGCAGGACAGTGCCATTGTGTTGATTTCTCATACTGCCATTGAGAATGGAGGAGGTAGGCTGTTATTATGTTTATCTGCAGCAAAGCCCCTGTGCACTTGTATCTGTATTGACACGTTTTTGAGAAAATATTCACACATGTATTAATTATTAATCCTTTAAATTACCATAGTACACAGTACATGTTGCTCACATTTTTGGCAGTGAAATGTGTCATAGTGAATGTATGTTACGACAGTAGCAAACCTGTAGAATAACAGATCACAAAAATACTTCACTCATGGATGTTCCGCAATGCAAATATATTTGTTATTTATCATTACACATAAGTGTTCAAAATTATATAGTGGGATTTATTTTTTGTCTTTACATGACAGTTAATAAAGTGACAGTAATCATGGGAAGTGAAAGGGAAGGGGAATGAATGCAAAATGAATGTTATTATGATTACACACAGGTGAAAATCATTTGACAGTAATGACAAATACAGTAGCTCATTGTCCATAAAACTGGCCATAAAGATAAGGAATTTCTAGTCAATAAGACTGTAGCGACCAATTATTTAACTGTGCAGAGGCAGCCCTATAGCATACTAAGAGACTCACATTTCTCTTTGTGTCTCTTTGGTGCCCAGACTGTCACTGCAGGCAGTAGCAGCCAGGAGAAGGAGAAGGATAAGACATCAGATGGGGATACGAACGGGCCAGCGGGGGAGCCTGAGAAGAGCCACTCCAACAGCAGCACGCTGTCAGATCGACGGCCCAGCGATTCCAGTTTGTGTAGCATTGAGGAGGAGCACCGCTATGTCTATGACATGGTGCATGCCATCCTGCTGTCCACCAGGGACAATGTGAATTTTGTCAACGAGGTCTTCCACCAGGTACAGTGAATGACCAAGCAATATTTCTTCATTTTATGTTGTAAAGATTAATTACATTGCAGGTATTGTATAGTTTTCATTTTGGGTCATGATTAGAATACAAACAGTGCTGACGCTCTGATACTATGTACTATGTTGCCCTCTGCTGGCCATATGTTGGCATAACTTAAAGGTCTTTCTTATTACAAGGCTACATTTTAAAAGCATTCATAATACTGTAATAAATTAAATTAAAAGTCTATTTTTTCCCTCTTAAGGCCTTCCTGCTGCCCTCCTGCGAGGCATCAGCAACCAGGAAGGTGATCAAAGTTTATAGGAAGTGGATCCTGCAGGAGAAGCCCAACTTCATGACGGAGCCTGACACACCTACCCAGAGAGATGAAGTGGATGACAGCTCTGAACAGACACTCAGCTCAGAGACTAACAGCATGCATGCACAGGTGCAACTTCTGATACAGAAATACCAAATAAAATAGATTATATAAATCAATCATAAATGCTTTTGATTGTGTATCGTCGAGAAAAAAGTGTAGCCAGTACATTTCATTTTATTTTATTCTATTTAATCTCTATTCAGGACTAAGTTGAGTTTTACATTTGTAGCAATTAGAAATATATTTAAAATATATTTGTAAAAGCCTGTTTAATCCTAACTTCAGTTTGGCTGAAATTATATGATTACATGACATACTCACCTATAAATCACATCATAAACTAAAACACACACAATGGGGGTCTCAAAACAGCATAGATAAAGTGGTAGATAAGATAAGACCATAGAATTCTTAATAAACATACAACCTCTTTTCTATCATGACATCAGTGTTTGTCTTAATATCTTGGATTATGTCTACTGACCAATTGAATTGCCTTCCAGACGTTACAGAGTCATGGTCACAGACGGTCGTCCAGCTGGGGGAGGACTTACTCATTTAGCAGCGCCATCAGTCGGGGCTTTCTCACTGAGGAGCAGAACAGGGACGTCAAGGCTGGTATCCAGCCCACGCTACAGGTCTGTCTCTGTGTTCAGAGATGTGTTTTTATCCTGAGTTCACAGCATTTAGTGCTTAGAATCTGCAATACTCGCAGTATTCACCTTGTCTGTCATTACTGTTTTCTTACTTACTTTGTCTTTATATTTTGCTGTTTGCTCAACTTTACTCTGTCGACATATGTGTAGGTATTCCTGACCAACTCATCCAATGTGTTCATGTTGGAGCCATGCCAGGATGTACCTAAACTCCTGGACAACCAGGTTGAGGTGTGCAAGGGTGTTCTCAGCATCTACCGGCACATGATCATGGAGCACACAATGAATACACAGACATGGTTAGTGACATATTCAAATACACATGGAAGTTATTCCTTTATGGCTCTAACATCTCTTTTTTTTTTTTTTTTGACACTGTGTTTATTTACTGTCTGTGTTCTGCAGGGAGCAGATGCTGCAGGTACTGCTAAGGATCACAGAGGCAGTGATGAAGAGGCCACAGGAAAACCAAAGAAAAGACAGCTTTGCTGAAAGTTTAGCTTCTATACTTTTTAGGGTATGTCATCATACCTATTCTCAATACTCTATAACTCTAATACAGTGTAATTACAGAGAATTCAATGTGCATTATTCTATTTGCTTTTTTAGTAATCACCACAATTTTTGCTCAGCAACCTGTATGTACTGAGTACTGAGAGTGCGTCTTCGATGGATTGATAGTTGACAAAAACACAAAGAGACACTATACCAAATTAGATGTATCAGTGTGAGAATTCTGCTGTCACATCTTATCAGGGGCTGGGATTCATTGATGTAACCCTGTCTGTCAATGCTAATTCATCTTTCCTTGTCTCATCTTGCATTCAGACCATCATTGTGGCGTGGGTGCGAGCCAACCTGTGTGTATTTATCTCCCGGGAGCTATGGGACGAGCTGCTGGCAGTGCTGTCCTCTCTTACCTGCTGGGAGGAGCTGGTGACAGAGTGGGCCAGCATCATGGACTCACTGACGGCTGTGCTGGCACGCTCCGTTTATGGCCTGGATATGGCCAACCTGCCTCTGGACAAACTCAGCGAACAGAAGGAGAAGAAACAGAGAGGACGTGGTGAGGGGGAGAACAGGGGGAAAAAATGTGAATTGAGATCGCTAGAATTTGGGTAAAAAAAGGTTTGAAACTGACTTAATTCTGGCGCTGGTTACTTTAGAGTCAAGTCTTATTTTTTCTTACATTTGACTTCATTTGACATTATAAGTCACGTCTGTTGATCAGTGACTTAATGTTGTAAAACAAAAAAATAAATGTCCAAAGGGGGAAGAATACCTTTTATAACCACTGTATTCCTCATGTTTAGTTTTACAGAACCTCTACCCAAAGTAACTGAGTTGGTCAAAATAAGATTTGTGAAGTCTTTAAAATTTCTAAGTTGACATACATTTTTAGTGCTGACAATTAGTCGATTGATTAATCAGCCACCAGAAGATTAATCATCGCCAATTTTATAATCAAATAATTGATTGTATCTGTCATTTAAAAAAAGAAAAGCTGAAAATCATCTTTTTCCAGCTTTCTAAATGTGCATTTTTCCCTGTTTCGTGTCATTGTAAATTGAATACCCTTTGGGTATTTTACTGTCTGCTAAACAGAACACCTCTGACATATAAACTGCCCACCTTCCATCCATCAGTGTGCCCTCCTGTCTGCCTGTGTGTTTTTTGATACTACCACTGGTGGTCACCAAAATCAAAAATGTTCAAATCCTACACATCAGAGTTTTAAATGTGCACTTTACAATGAGCTAAAGCTTGTTAATACCCACACTACATGCTAATTTAAGGAAATGGGCAATTACACATTGATGTTGACAACTACTACATCAGTGTGTGGAGTGTTATATTCAAATGACAAGTTTTTAAAGCCTAAAATACCATAACCATAATTATCCTTTAAGGTACTCTTAAAGCCACTGAACTGTCTTGCGTGTCAGCGGAGGTTGGCAGTGCTAAATCCAACTATAAAGCTGATTATTTAAAATGAATTTGATTTATTAATTAATTTACTCTGACACCTCAGTAATGAGCAAGTGTTGTTCTCTGCATGTCAGGAGTGATCCAGGACTCCCAAAAGGCAGCAGCAGTGGCACGTTCCTTTTCACTAAGTTGGAGGAACCAAGGCGAACAGGGTGGGCCAGGAATTCAGGAGCCCATGAGGATTCGATCCGCCACTACGTCAGGAGCTCCTGGGGTAGAGAAAGCCCTTAACAACGTCCGACAGAAGGCCTCTGGTAAGTACCTGTAATAATAGTGGTAAAAGTATGGTTGCTGTATGTTACTATACCATCAAATGAAATAGTGTCTTTTATTAGAGCCTCTGCGTGTATGTACTATTCTATATCCATGCTGTATTCATCTTCTGGCTTTGTGTGAGTCAACAACAGAGTACTGATAAGCCTCTGGAGCACAGCCTCAGACCACAGGGTTTATCAGACGTATTGACTGCGTGTGAAAGCCTTCAGACAGGTCCATGTGTATGCTAGCCCAGGTGTTGTTGAAAGGCCCAGCACCAAAGACAAAGAGGCCAGCAGATGGCCACCATTGTTCCCCTGACATGTCACTGGCCAATGTCAACATGTTTCCATGTCAGCTCGATTGCAGGCATACAGCACAATCCCCCCGACGGCATGTCAAAGGACAGCTTTGGACACTCATTGTCATTAGCTCAATTCAGACACCGCAAACACCCCTTATCTGATGGGAGTATGGCAGGCTAATTATAAGTTGAGCTGGATGGCAGTAGAGTAGTAACTAGCTGCAGTGCCTGTCTTCCGTGTCTTAATTTTGTCTAGACAGAATATCTTAATGTGGGGGATAAAAGACGATCGCTTTTCGTTTCCTGGCCTTCCGCCCCTCCAATTACCACCAATGTACTAAAATGACGAGCTTGTTGAGCTAGGAGCAGATGTATTTCTGCCTGAAGGATGAAGTCTTAGAAGGTGTGTGTGTGTGTGTGTGTGTGTGTGTGTGTGTGTGTGTGTGTGTGTGTGTGTGTGTGTGTGTGTGTGTGTGTGTGTGTGTGTGTGTGTGTGTGTACACGCTGACGCATCTATTATATGTCCCGTGTGCATGTTAATGCACCTATTCTCTTAGTCTGTTTGTTTGTATCTGCATGCAAGCAAAGATGGACATTAAACACTACCGCTTCAAATTCCCTTCCCTTTCTTTGGCCTAATTGGATTTCTCCCACATTGATCTTCAAAGGCCCGACAGCCCTCCTCCCTACTCCTCAAGAGAAGGCCCACACATCAATTGCACGGCAGTTTTTGATAGTTTCATTAAGAGTGTAATTAATGCTCATTAATATGCATAAATGGGAAGCAGTGGTGGGCTGTAGCAGAGACGATGTATCTCTCTCACTGAAAGGCATAATTAAAGTGTGCTGAAAGCAGAGAATAGAACTGTCCTCTTTTATTTCTCTTTGAGATTATGCCTGAAGTGCTATTCAGATACAATGGCAATGCCTTAGCATTGACAACTGTCAAAACTTGGCTGTACTCATGTATGCAAATACAAACTAATATTGTTCTGAGATCTTGTCTTGATAATGGAGAAAAGGGCTGGATATTTCATTATGGTACTCATTAAGACTATACAACTACAGAGACCCAGTTGAACCAGCTCTGGTTATCAGGTATACCTTTACTGATTTTTGTTTAAATTGTAATGTCATAAGATAATATCATTTAGACGAAAATAAGATAAAGTGTTGTGGGTTTGGCTTGTACAGAATAAATTAATTTTCTGGAATTTTTCTCTCAAAATTAGATTTCAACAAACACTGAATTGATCATATCCAGGTCAAACTCTGGTTCTGCTGTGCTCTATTTACTCTCCATTCTGATCAGGAATGTTTCTATTAATTGAAGTACTTTTATAGCGCTCTGTACTTTGCTATTATTGAATACTGTCTTCTTCTCTTTAACTCTTTTCTGTTTCCACTGTCTTTCTTCTTCCTCCTCTTCTCTCTTTTTCCTTGATGGAAGCTAAGCGAAGCCAGTCCATCAGCAACTGTGTTCATCTATACGAGGCATTGCCCACTACTAAAAGCGTTCCTATGCTGCTCCACACTGTGAGCTCTTTCTTGCCTGGTATCTCTTCTGGTAATTCTGCTTGCTCTCACAGACTCTCAGGTAAAGTGGATTCTGAGAGCTGCATGTGTTTGTGTGTATGTGACATCGTCCTGCCTTTTCATCTATCTATCACTATCTTTCACATGGTGCCAGGATGACAATTTTATGTTTTAACAGGAACTTAAGACTGTTTTGTGGTTATCGAAAAATTTAAAAATCTTTAGGGCAGCCCTGCAATGTGTAGGAACTGTATAATATAACAAGAATACGTCTGCATCAACACTGCATGTGTGCATGTCCTAATTTCTCTTCATGTTCCCATTAATGTGTCAAATATTGACCTATACCGTGTCTTCAAATCCCTAAAAATACAAAAATGGTATATCTTAGCATGTTTATATTTGAAGGTGTGTGTTACAGATTTCTGCTGATCGTCTGGCTCTGCCTAACAATATGTGTCTTCTTTTCCCCTTCCTGTTAGATGTGGAGGAGTGTCAGCTGTCAGAATGTGGGGGAGAGGAGGAGCTAGGAGGCGGAGATAGCCCTCTGCCACGTAGCAGCAGCACCTCAGACATCACCCAACAAATGTCTGACACTTTACCGGGTATATGCAGACACAAACTTGATTTTAATCCCCCTCATGTTTCACCTTTGATCCTGACTGAAATTACACCCTATGCCTTTCAGTGGCATTGTATTAACAAGAGATTTAGCTGAGCTACATGTAAGTCATCAGGTAACTCGAGGGCCATTTGCTAGTTGCCATTTTGTTATTTCCACGCTTTACAATTGAATGGAATTCAGTACAATTGCAGTAAATATTTGTTAAGACTTTTCTGTTTATTTATTTTTTTATTTTTTTTATCATGGGTCACAAATTAAAAGTGTATAGGCCATAGTTACTGGTGGTGGAATAGTAGACTTGGGTCTAGGATCTGAGGAATACAGGATACAAGGATACAATATTCTACCTTTTTTTTTGTTTAGATGTGACATGGACATTTAATATGAATTTCTGCATCTCTTTATTAGGGTGATTGAAGAACCAGGGTGTATTCTTAGATGGATTTTGTTGCATTTTTCTTTTTAATCTGTTGCATTAGTTTATATGACAGGGGCAATGCTCAATAATCAACAGAAGTAAAAGAATTGTAAATGAGCCAGAGTTACCCTTGAAGACAAATTTTCATCTATTTGCTCTAGAAACAATTTTTACCTATCCAATTAAACTCAGTGACATAAAAAAGCACTTATTGTTTTACCTTTAAGACTCATTTTATTTTTGTTTTATATATAATTATAATATCCCCTGTTGCACTTCAGCCCAGAAGAGAGAGTACTCCCCTACTTCCTGTGGCTCTGATAGCAGGACCTCGGAGGGGAGGAGAGAGAGCAATGAGCCACCAGTGGTGAGAAGAATCATCCTGTACTATAGTATTATGTCAAAATAATGAAGTAAGATTTGTCCATATAAGTATCTCTTCTTTTAATGTTTGTTTCTGTACTTGTAGATCCTCATCCGGCGGAGCAGCAGTACAGCTGAGACAGAGTGCAATGCTGAGGGCCACACAAACTACACAAGACCCAAGCTCAGAGAGAAAAGTGATTGCATCACTAATTATTTCTTTAAAATGATAATCACTGGGATATCTGTGTAGCTTTGTTTTAATATACATTGTGATCCACATGAAGAAATTGCTGTTTTTAAATTTGAAATTAATCAGTTTAATCAAACACTGAAGTATCAAATAAAGCCTTTATATGAATTAATATTTTTCCTTAGATAGCCAGTACCTTCCATCTCATCCTTCTCTGTATTAAACTTATCCACCTCATTCACCCAACCCACCTAGGTGAGAGTATAAGCAGTGAGACGTCCAACGGCTACCTCAATGAAGCTGAGGTTACCTGGCAGGCCTTTGATGAGGAGGCTGATACTCAGTCCACACAGTCAGCCCACATGGATGTGACAACCGACCCCCAGAGCCAGGGGAGTCTGCTGCTCAGCCATAATGAGGCTCTAGCAGGTATTGGAAACTAATAAGAACTCACCCTGAGCACCTAAAACAGTTCACCCTGTATTTATTTTAGATGTCTAGATGTATTTTACAATGTAGTACAATCAATGAATTAGAAGAAGAAAAAACTTGTAAGTTCTTTGCCTTTTACAGTTGATAAGCCGACAAAGAAGATGCAATGTAGAAGCTATTGGGCACAATTAGAGGGAGTTGGCCAATGGTAAATGTAGATACTGTCTTTTCCCTGACTTTTCTGTCAGTTAAATAATTTTACAATATTGTCTAATTTAAACAAAAACAAATCTCACAGTACAATGCTTTGTAAACATTCAGCACAGAGGAAGAATTAGTTGAATGAGTTCAGCAGTTCTGCAGGTTCATTTGAGGTGTGTTATATCTGGGGCGTTTGCCTCCTTTGACCTCACTCTTGATGGATTAGTCATAGCCAGGTACAGTGACCCAGTAAGGGAACTTGACCTGCTTGTCAGTATCTGCTCCAGTACCTCTGTGGCTAAGCCATTTAATCTTTCTATTTGTGCATTGTGAATGTTATGAATGGGAAGTGGCCCGTGGTTTAGACAGATGATGTTATATGTGATATTTGTGATTTTATATATTTTATATATATATATAAAAACATGATAGTCCCTCTGCTTTAAACCCTACAGCTTTTAGTTTACTCGTCACCACTCTGCCCCTCCCACCCTTGTACGTGAACTTCTGTCTGTCTTGTCCTACATAGTGACCATCATGAAGTTGTCACTCTTCCTTTGTCCCTGTGCTCCCTTCCTCAAATCCAATTTTATCCCTTTCCCCTTGTCGTTTTTAGGTCCCGAGTGTGCCCTCCCTCCCCACTCTGCACCCCCGTCCTACCACCACCACAACCACTACCACTACCCCCAGAACCCGCCCGCCTCACCAGCCCTGCTGGTGCACACAGAGTGCCCAAGGGACTGCCCCCTGGACGACACCATGCATCAGTCTGTCTTACACATGCCACACCACTTGGGTACTGCTCCCCAGCTGCTACTCATCATATAGACCATAGAGTCCTCATTTACCATTGACTCTCTATATCTATATCTATATTTTTCAGCCTTACCTTGGCTTCCTTTGCATACATTACACTTATCCATGTTTGGGTTTTTTTGTTGTTTTTCTCATTCTCCCACACAGCAGATCATATTTAGTTATTCAATTTCATACATTAAATTACTTTTTATGGAACCAAACATGCATTCCTATATATCTCTGCTGAAAAATCTTTCATTTAATAATCACCTTACATCTGCTACACACACCATCCATTTCTGTGTCCTTTCCAGGCCTGAACTCCCTCTACTCCCCATCATCGCTACTGCCCACTAGGTGGCACTGTCCTCCCACAATTCAACCTGACTTCATTTGGATGATGCATGTGACTTGTGCCTGTTTCCCAAAAGTGTTTCAGTGCTTTGATCAGTTTCAGTGAAGAAAGATCTTAGTGCTTGGATACATTTGGGAAAATATACAGGGAGACTAAGGATTTGGTCAACAACTGCTCAAACAATGACAACAAGGATGGCTTTGAGGGTTTATTGATCTATTATGTATCACAAACAAGTCTCAAAGACTCAAAGAATTTTATAAAAGACGCTCTGCAGTTGTTTACTAAATCCCATATCCTCTATGAAATTAAATTTGGTTCACTTTGTATTAGGTACCGGCAGCCACAAATATACGTGTTACCAAATAATTTATTCTCTAACCCAAACCAACCCAAACTCTCTCTCTCTCTGGCCATGCAGACAGTAGTGAGTGTTTGGCAGATGATGTCAGCATTATTGCGGGTGGGACCCTGACTGGTTGGCATGCCGATTCCGCCTTCGTCTTGTGGAGGAGGATTTTGGGTATCCTGGGAGATGTCAACAGCATCCATTGCCCAAAAATCCATGCCAAGGTCTTCACCTATCTTTATGAGCTTTGGCACAAGCTTGCTAAGGTAAGATATAGAGGCAAAAGCCACCTACATATGATGCTTTTTATTTAATTTTTTTGGTCAGTGTTGTTTTTATTGACTGAAAGTGTACATCTGCTTGCAGATCCGGGACAATCTCGGGATCAGTGTGGACAACCAGTCTTCTCCTCCCCAGCCTGCCTTTATCCCTCCTATTCGAATGCTGGCCTCCTGGCTCTTCAGGGTATTAACAACACATACAACAGTCACAATGATTAAACACTTTGAGGCATAAAATAAAAAATGTGGGACAAAAAACAACCAACAATTTGAGGGTTAGTTTATTAGGTATACAGCATGCCGAATAAATAATAATTTCTTATTTAGCATCTGATAGCACTGTCATGTCCTAAAAATAATAATACAGCGTTGTCATTGAATGCTATAGTTATTTCCCTTGTTCCAAGTTCATCGATATGTTTAGCTGTTGTAAGCAATATGCGGTAGTTGTTTCCTCGAGAGTTCTCTAATGCTCATAAAGAAATTTGATTACATGTCCAACAGCAGCAACAAGTAATAGAGAGGACTTAATGGTTAGCTTTAGCAACGGCAGACATTATGACTAAACAAACAAATTAGCAGTATCTAATCGTACTGTTTCAGCAAAACCATAAAAATGTTGCATATTTAAGTCAAACTCATTAAATGCACATTGGTTGCAGCATAATAGATGCCAGCATAATAGATGTTAAACATGTCTTCAGCTCCTCATATTAATACTGACCTCAGCGTCTCCCTCCCCTCCACAGGCCACTATGCTGCCCGCTGAGTACAAGGCTGGCAAGCTGCAGGCCTACAAGCTGATCTGTGAGATGATGACCAGGCACCAGGATGTGCTCCCCAATAGCGATTTCTTGGTGCACCTCTATCACATCATGCACAAGGGCGTCACCAGCAACGACCAGGTACAGCCAGCAGGTGGCACCTACAGTTATTGCTGCCAGTTGTTCAGCTTTTTTTACCACCAGATGGCGCACTAGTCCAGCTCATGTGTTGCTTATGCATTGGTCCTGTTTAAAAACTGGAAAACGATGGTTTGTAGCTGCTGATTTGCCATCTACTTTTTCCTGTGTGATGTAACTCAATGATTCCTATTCACCTGTTAGTAGTTAGTTCTTGATATAATTCAGGTAAACTCATGGTAGTATAATCTATGCCTAATGTGTGTCCAGTGCTAGTTCTTTTTATGATATTTAGGATCAGCATATGGTCTAGGACTGCGACTGACAGGAGTGAGGAGTGGGGTCATGTAGGCGCACTGCAATATAAGATTATTGAGGCTTCGTTTCAGCTGGTAATTTTGAAAACTGCGTGCCAACCAGTGGTGATGAAGAATGCTTCAGTGTTTTGGCATCTTCCACCTCCTTTAGCCACACCCTTCCTCGTATTTAAATCTGGCCTTGCTCCATTCCTTCCAGACGAAGCTGAGTGGAGATGAATGGAGTCCCCCAAAACAAAGGACACGGATAAAAGTGTGTGTGGGTGGGGGGTGTTTTGGATGCAAGTGTGTGTGTGTGTATATGTATGCCCTCCTGGCTGGGTTTCGATTGCGCCTTGGCAGTGCGACAAGCTTATTAGAATGTTTTCCATGTCGTTAAATAATGTTTTGAGCCCCTGCCGCGTATACGTGATTAATTAAGGATTGACGTCTGTCGCGCTCCGTTAGACTGACACGTCGGCCAGGGGCCCAGAGTAGGCTGGCCTGCCTGCCTGCCTGCCTGCCTGCCTGCCTGCCTGCCTGCCTGCCTGCCTGCCTGTGTGTATGCCTGCCTGCCTGTGTGTATGCAAGTGTGTGAAGGAGCGGGAGGGGAGTCTGGGGAACGCAGTGTAGAGTAGAGCAATGAGGGGGGCACACTGAGGGACGAGGCAACATTCTCCAGCTTTTGTTGTGGCTCTGTATAATGCGTCGGGGGGCCAGAGCCAGGCTGGCCACTGAAGCATGCTCAAATTGGCCGGAGAAAAGAGTCCTCACGCCACACAATAGAGGACAGCCGCACGCCTGCTTAACATAAGAAAGTGGCTCTTACTCTCCCCCTCCTCCTTCCTCTCTGCCTCCACCCGCAACCCCCACCCAAAAGGATAAACATATAGTTTTCCAAATGTATAATATATATATATATATACGCGTGTATATCTTCTTGTCTTAGTAAGTTTTTTTGCACACTAATTTTTCAATTAGCTTTCATGATTTCAGTAGCCATCAGTACTGACTGGTCTGCAAATCATCTAATATGATAGTTGATATTATTTGTTTGTTTGTGTTTAGTTTAGCTTTTTTTTTTACACATAGTATGTATTGTATATTTATATCTTCCAGTACTCTAGCTTACAGGTTGAGCATTTACCTTAGGCTACCTGTTCATCAAGTAATCAAACCTGCCTTAAACCGCCATTTTTATAGACAACAGAGGGAATCCCAGTGTAAATGCTCACTATTAAAATCAAGTAAGCTTAGAGATAATTGACAGTTCCTTTTGGAGATATTCTCCTTCCAATCGACAGTGCCAAGGTCAGGGCTATTGTCCTGATTTTCCTTCCCTGGTCACTGGTCTCACAAAGGCATAACCATAGCACAATAGCAGTAATCTATCTAATAGGTCGACTGTCTTTAGGTTTTGTGAAGTACAGTTGCACCTATTCATTCTGCATAGCTGTAGAACACATTTATCAGCCATGCACATGCACTAAAAAAACACCAAATCTTTCATCTTTAATCTTGCATTGACTAACATATAACAGGCTAGTAACATTTGGACAGATCCTCCTCACCTGTGCTTTCAGAGCAAAACTAGCTCCTCCTTCACTTCATTCTTCTTGTCACTGCAAGAAGACAGGTCTGGTGTAATTTATATGGGCAGATTAAAATGTTACAGTTGACCTCTAAACCACATACGTGGCTGTTGTTTCAACCTTTCACCTCATAGTTATGCAGGTGGGTTATAACAGCTTGTGAAGGGAAAGCCTTAGATCTTCATAGGGATGATGGTGATGTTGAATTGCAACAGGAAATCTGCCCCATACTTAACTGGAAACGTCCATCTTTAGTAAATGAGTCAAACATTTTCCAATGTTGTGTGGAGTGATGTAATACCCGACTGAACCCTGTCACCCCAGGGGCCAGCAGGTGGACAGCGTGTGCTTTCCTGGAGATGAGGCCACATGAAAAGGCCTGAGGTGGCTCTATTCAGAGTTACGTTAATGCACCTTTTGTTGATGCAAGGGCCATTCCTACTGCCAGCACAGAGCCACATGTGGGGCTCAATTCCCATTTCTATACACACACACACCTCAAATCAGGTTCCTTCTGCTCACACATACAATAGAAAACACTTTGCATTCTACATTTGTGGCTTCCTCTAAAATGCTCATTTCAGGCAATCAAGCAACAGTTTGTTGCATGCTAATTACCTCTGACTGCACTGCACATTATGCTTCAGAGGTCAATTACCAACAAAATGAGGGTAAAATGGGCCCTCAATCCTAAAGCTCTTCCCACCAATTTTCCACATGCAGTGCATCGTGTTGGTTTGACTTCCTACTTATTGCCTGTGCGTGTTTATTCTATTCCTCTTTTGTTCACCTGCATTCCCTGTTTACCAAAGCTTCAGGTGATTAATGTCATTGAAAGAGAGCAACTGTGTGCATGTGTGTTTGCTAAGGTGCCCGTCGGTTCAGCTAGAAACAGGCTGATGTTTGAACTGTCCGATTTACACAAGTTTATGGCCAAGAAGGCAGGTGTTTCTATCCTGGACCTTGCCTCTGTACACAAATATACACGCGCATGTCTCAGATAAGAGAGTGAACAATCTTTTTGCCTTCCAGCCTCCGCATTCTCATACCAATGTGTTTTTAAAAAAAGTAAAAAATTATTTCTGTCAATGAAGAATGAATAAATAAAGCTCTTTGCTGCAGCTTTGCCATCTAAATATAGAATAGAAAACCTGTTAACAGCTTTTTGTGCTCTTGTCTAGCATGGTATTACACCGTACATACTTGAGCAGTTTGTGCAGAGCCCTCTGCAGTACAGCATATGTCAATGTTGAAAGAGCACCCATCTGCCACTGAGCCGCCTGTACCTCAGCAAAACAATACCTTGTCTCTGGCTTTAATTACAGGTTTGCTTGTGTGTGTATATACACGTGACTCACGAAAGTTGAAGTCTTTTGTTCTCCCTCTTATCCTCTGTGAACAATCCATCTGCTGCCTCTCTCTCTCTCTCTCTGTCTCCCCTGTCTTTCTTTCCCACTCTGTTTTTTTATGTCCTTTAGTGACATGTACTGTAGAGTACCTTGCTCTCCTCAACACACTTAAAATGCTTAGCCTACCTGTTGGAGGAAAAAGCTTTCTCTCTGCCATGTCTCTCACATGGTGGCCCATTTGCAAAATATTTCTGCATCCCTCCACCCACACTAACAAGACCTTGTGCTCATACCAAATACAAAAATCCCAACGAACTGTGAAGATAATGTAGAAGACACTCAGATTTTTTTCTGATTGATGATAGCTGTTTAAATATCAGTTTGGTAATTACTGTTTGCCTCCTATTAACGTGTGTGTGTGTGTGTGTGTGTGTGTGTGTGTGTGTGTGTGTGTGTGTGTGTGTGTGTGTGTGTCATCAGGATGTTTTGAACACTATCATCCGTTCCTGCTCTCCACGTTTCTTCTTCCTCGGCCTGCCAGGCTTCACCATGCTTATTGGGGATTTCATCACTGCTGCTGCCTGCGTTCTCAGCTCTGGCTCCTCAGAGGTACACACTTCTAACATTCAGTTTTATTATGTCAGTCGAACTGGAATCCAAATTGTTTTCAAGAACTAAAAGAAGATGTTGAATATTATACACATTAAAAGTTTTTGTTGTAACAATATTGTCACACAATTTGTCCTTGTAATAATTTTCTTGAATTTTGCAGCTTTCTGACATTGAAACGTTCAAACTGTTTTGTGAATTTTAGTCGTAATAAACAAGAATCCGAGGGACCAAATAGCACAAATGTCTGAAACTTTTTTTCATTTGTTTGGTTTGCAAGAAAATCAAGAATTTAATCTTCAAGTGTGGAAAAACTGCCCTACTTGTTTCGTTATACTTTAATGTAACTGTGCAACTATGACTGAAATTAAAACCATTAGTATTTTTTTCTCAGCCTTACCCTGCACTTATTTCTCATGATTATTCCCCCATCATTTAATTTCATACTTCATATTACTATACTTACTGTGCCAGTAAAGAAAACATGATTTAAATGTACAAATGTTTAACTCAAAAGCCTGCAGCCATATTTTAGAAGGAACAAGCTGTTAATTACAGAGGAAACTAATTAATGTGATTAATCAGACAATTTGAACAGAAAATGTTTCATTAAATGCATAAGAGCATCACATTTAAAGTGTTAATATGAGTCATAATAATAGTATTACTCATGTTTAATTAATTGTGGAAACCATTATGTGTTCACCGTCGTTATGGACTTGAAAACAAATGCAAACATTTGTTGCAAGTCCGATGCAAAATCTTTTGTAATTTGCACTGAAGTACATTCACATTCGCTTGTGATGCCAACATTTTGGCCTGACTGTTGTCAGTTGACACACCAATACATGACCACTCCCTGTTTACTTATTGCCAGTGTGCACAGATTTAAACCTAACATGAGCAAGATAGCGTTGACTGTCTCTAAATGTATTATATGTCAGGAATAGTTTACAGCGACACTTAAATGTTTTGTTTCTTATTGTTTTGTTTGCCAGTTAGTTTCATATCGCCCAGCATCGATGTTTTATCTGTTTTCAGGGTAATAACCACTCATCAGGTGCAACAGGATGTACAATCTGCTTTAGAGCTGCACCCATTGCGCATTTAATCAGTCATTTTGTTGTCCGACGCCTGTCAAGATATTCTGTTGAGCATCAGCAGAAACATGAATAAAGACCCAATTAATTCTCCTGGATCCCTCCAATTCTTTTTCCCTAAATAGCAACCTTACTGTTTCCTGGAACTGGGTTGTTTTCATGTAGCTTTAAGGAATTAATGATAGCATGTTGTGTTTTTTTTCCTATCTCCTCCAGGCTCCAAGGTTGGAGGCTCAGACAATCTTGGGCTCCCTTGTGTGCTTCCCCAACCTTTACCTCCAGATTCCTATACTGCAGCGTGTGCCTGGCTCTGATGACATTGTTGTAGGCAATGAGGATATCAAGGTAATGGTCAAGATGTTATCAGACATTTCACCTAAAATGTGAATATTAGGAAAAATTATTTAGTTTGACTCCCAAGTCTCATGTTACAATAAATGGTAGAGATTTATAGATATTAGATTAAGTGAGCGGCCTAGATTTCATTTGAATATGTAGTAAACCTAGCATGTTGTCTTGGCTGTTCAGGATTATCTGGTCAACATCCTGCTCGAGACGGCAACAAAGGAACATTGTGAAGGGTCCAGGTATGATTGGCAATATTGATGATGCTTATTTTTTTTTTCATTCTCAATATATTTGATCAGTTTCACATGTATGTGTTTTTACATACATGTGTCTATGTGTAATAAAAATTAAAATCCTAATGGATACAGAGCATTTACTAACCATCATAACAATTCTGTGCAATGCCCAAGACTATTTACCATTATATCATTTTTGTTGTTTTCTGAATACATTTAGTAAAATTCAAACTCTGTATTTTTCTTAAATTTAAGAATAATAATAACTTCTGTCATTCAGGTGCATTGCCGTGTGCAGTCTGGGTCTGTGGGTGTGTGAGGAGCTAATGCAAAAGAACATCCACCACCAGGTTAAAGATGCCATCAATGTTCTCGGAGTAACACTAAAGGTCAGTGACCCTCTAAGGAAGAAAAGCTGCATCTTTCTATGTGCATTTGCAGTTTGATATTTGCTAACTTATGTGTACAAAATAATTAATAAAATACAACTGCAATGCGGCAACAATTCTGAATTGTATAAATCACTGTCAGCCACAGTGTCTTTAAATAATGTGATGCAGTAAGCCTGGATTTCATCAGTCCTTCTTTGTTTTACCCCACAAGCCCTATAGTGTTTATCTCTAACAAAAATGATAGCTGATCACATAAAAGGACTGCAAAACAATTTCAACATAGTGAGTGGAGAAAAAGTGTGAGAATAAAACATGTCCAGTGACTCATGGGTATATTTTGGAAGAGCCCTCTTTTTCTACCTGAGTGAAGAGATGCAGAGAACCAGTAGAGGCTGTTTTTGTTTTTTTGTTTTTTGTAATTTTTTTTTCATGGAAAAGGCTTTGGGGCGGTGGCGTAATTTCCAGGCTGCTCGCTCTCAGTAGATGTGGGCCAATTTAAGCAGCTACATCTCCCAGCTTCCTGCTCGAGCAACCCCCCCTTCTCTAATGGAGCAGTAATCACTCCCCTGTACAACTTGACACACAGACTCAGCCAGCCCCAAAATAGAGGGTATAGGCTGGGTGGGGGATCTAGGGGGAAGAGTGGCACTGAGAGTCTCTTTTCTAAAAGCAGGTGCTGAACTCTCAGGGCCCCTTTTTGTGTTTGGCCATTTCTACACTCCCCACATTGTCTGCCCTTGTTACATGTTGAGAGGCATTCAGCTGGAAGAAATGGGAAATTCTATTTCTCCACAAAGAATTTCAAATCACTGAAGAAATCCACAGTTGCAAGAAAATTGTCAACAATTCTTTCCTCCAATGAGTCTGGAGAAAATGAGCCATGGTTTGAAGTGGAAAAGAAATTATGCTGATTATATGCACAGTAAGTGAAAAGCAGAATTTAAGGGACATTCTGTCATAGTCAATATGTGCCTAAACTTTTCCCCCCATCTTGTCCCTCTGCCTTTTTAGAATTTCCAGCATTTAGGGCACACAAGTCCTATAAGGGAATGTGTAGAATAAACAATACTCCCAAATTGGAAGTGTTACTCTCAGGGTAGTCTACTCACCAGATGTAGACTGTGGGTATAAGCCTGCCATTGGCCGCGTATATCATGCAGCATTCTCCTCCCCTTCCACCATCTGAATGTTATAATTTTCAAAATCCCTTATGTTAGTTATTTTAATGCCAGCTCTCACCTCACAACATGCAAATGTTCCACCAAAACAGCCCACCCCCCCAAAAAAAAAACTATTGGGGCACCATCACTGCATCCTGGGCTTAAAGGACCAGTGTGTAGAATTTAGTGGCATCTAGCATTGAAGTTGCAGTGTAAGATGTTCCAGTACTATTTATTTTGTGTACACTTATACATTAACAAGCAAATCATGTGTATTTTTCCTGCTTTGTTAATTCCTTTTTTCACATTATTTAGATTGAGTATGGGTGGCCAGTTAGCACTAATTTGGTTGCACCATTAGTAGATTAAAGACCTTAAATATAGAATCGCATTATTAGTGTAACAAACAACCAAGAAAATCTCACGATGGCCTGTGAGGTTTACAGTAAATTGTTGTTTTGTTTGCTGAGAGAATGTGTCACAGCAAAAATGTCCTGGCTATCGAAATAAAAAGCATTCTTCTACCTCAAGAATGTACATGTACATTATAACAGAAAGATATGTATTTAACATCAAGATTTTTCTCTACATTAAAGATGCTTATTATAAAAGGAGCCAAACTCTTTACATCATTAAATTGTTTGTTTGTTTTTTGTTTTGTCCAGTTTGGGAACAAAGCAGTGGCTCAAGCAGCTTGTGACGTGTTTCAACTGCTCATCTCTCACTGGGAACATCTCCAGAGGTTGGAGCCCACTTTGCCTAAGAAAATCATTGAGGTAACACACACATGCACGCACACACACTTAAATTGTCACTAGCCATTAGGCAGTCCCTCCAGAAAAACGCGATTATGCGATCGCATAATTCAATGCATAATCAGCCAAAGTCCGCATATTTATGCGGGCCGCATTTTTTCAAGTACGCCGCACTTTCGCCGCATAAATTGCAGATTTCCACACAAAATATGCGGGACTTGCATGATTTCATAATCCCCACATTTTCGTTGGAAAAAAGTCACATATATCTTAGCAGAAAGTTGAAAAATGTTGCCATGATGAAGCCCTTTTATTTATCCATTTTTACAGAAGTTGTAGCATATTCCTTTTGTGAAGCTACAGAACTTGTTTGACTCATCAATGTTTTGTAAGTTTGAGCCATGTGTTTATTAAGGTCTGAAATAAAAAAAGGTGAGAACTGAAATATTCCCAGCACTTTCTGTGATGTGGTATGCTTGCTTATCATAGGAAGTAATAAGAAATTACTCTTTACATTAAGGTAGTAGCCTAGTGAGAACAGGGTGTTGGGGGAATCTCTTTTTTTTCTCTTTCATCAAACTGCAATTTTTGCAAGTTCCCGCAATTTTTGCAAGTTCCCGCAATTTCATCGCATAAAATTGCATAAATATCCTGCACATACAATCGCATTTTTTAAGAAAACATGTTGCATAATCTAGGATTTTTGCCCGCAACAATCACAAAAAAACTCCGCATTTTTCTGGAAGGACTGATTAGGGACTTGTGAGATCATATTTAAAAGTAAGATGAGAAATTCCTATAATGGCACATGCAATGTGCAATGAGTGATTACTCATGCATATGCATACTCTCTATCCCATGGCCATTTAAGCACATAGTCCTGACTCAGCTCATGAATAGGAGTGTGTCATCCAATTATCTTTCCCCTTGTTTTGTCCAAACACAGATCTTTGTGGCCACAATAGCCTTTTTGTTGCCGAGCGCAGAGCACTCAACAGTGGAAGCAGACAAAAAGGTAAATTTTGGAGGGGACATGAAATGGCTGAGATCTAAAGGCCCTTGATCCTTCATGTTGGAATGGTGCAGTTGCAAAGGAATGTTTCTTCTGTCTCTACAGTTCTTCTCTCTCTATGTCTGTATTTTCTGACTTTTACTAAGATATTACCTGTTGTTTCTCTTGAACTGTCCTGCTCTTTTTTACATTACATTTTCTGTTTTGATTTCTGATGACTAAACTGAAAAAGGAACTCTCCTCTTTCTCACGGTGTCAGTTGATGGTGTCGCTGCTGCTCTGCCTGTTGGACTGGTGCATGGCTGTTCCCCTGAGTTTGCTGCTGGAACCCATCACCATGCCTTTGCTGGACGACCGCACATCCCACAAGGCCCCACTACTGGACTACATCTACAGGGTGGGTAGCCTCACTGACAGCTGGGAGGTGGGAAAAGCTGAAAGTTGCAGTTACAACAAACATGCCTGCCTTGCCTATCCTCTGAAACATACATACGTAGTCTTTGCACGCAGACACAATAACTTCAGCTTTGACATGTTCACCCCCACCCCACCAAATGTGCTTGCCACTTTAATTACACTCACCTCTACCATGACCTCATGACTATGCCTCATTTAACATTATAGTGGCACAACAGCATTAGAAGTACCCACCATTGATGATGCATTTAGTTAAAATGTATCACGTTCAGGAAACTCTTACAACTGGCAGTGTAGTAGCATTCATTTAAAACAAAATTTCCAGTATTCAATCTATTTCTCTGTATTTGTCCCTCTAACCCCTTGTTTTATGGTCTGATCCTGAGGATGAGGGCCAAGCTTCAGGCTCAAATGAATGAGGTATTATTCATTCCCTCCTGTCTGGGCAGATGCGGTCAACGGCAGATCTTTGTAAGGATGTCACCCCTGATAAGAAATGGTCCAATTATTCAAACAGGACCCTTTGTCCACTTGATAAGCTCAGGCTATAAACGCTTGTCCTGAAGAATTGAATGGAATATGTCTTAATATGAGAGCAACTGCAGCTGCTATGAAAGCAAAGACAATTAGGCATGATTGGTTGTCTATCGGCGCACAAAAGGCATCGCCCCGCTGGGTTTCATTGAAAATAATATATTAAGCAAGGCATCACAAGGTGTGACAATATTAATACAATATCAAGACCGAAATCTATACATTTGCACCGATACACTGGCTGCTAATTATTCTTTGTGCCAAGCAGAGGATAGCTTCTCTAATAAAAAAAACATCTCCCTTTTATTCTACCACTGGTCATTTTCACTGACAAGGTACCAGGGGTTGTCTATGATTATTGATTTAATTTTCATGCCTCACCTTCTTTTAGTAACAGTTTTATATTTAAAAAAACTTGTGTATGCTTTGTCCCAAGCCCAATATATGTACCCAGCTAATCAAAAGGTTGTCATCCTATTCATCCTGACATGAAGAGAAAAGTGAGAAAAGTTCTTTTTGTTGACCAAAAGCTTGCACATAGGTGTAAAAAGCAACATTGCTCAAGACCTCATTGGTTCACTGGGTTCTGTTCAAGCTTCTCCATCTGCTTTCTTAGCCGGCCTCAGCAACCAGCTGCACCTCCGCTTTCTGTGTGTGTGTGTGTGTGTGTGTGTGTGTGTGTGTGTGTGTGTGTGTGTGTGTGTGTGTGTGTGTGTGTGTGTGTGTGTGTGTGTGTGTGTGTGTGTGTGTGTGTGTGTGTGTGTGTGTGTGTGTGTGTGTGTGTGTGTGTGTGGATAGGTACATTTGTATGTGCGCACCTGTATGACTCTGTTTGCGATTTTATTATTTGATTTCTGTGTGTACACAGTCGTACTTATGTATCCATACGATATATGCCCCTCTACCTACTATATGCTTATTTCACTGTGTGTTACCTTCCAGGAACTGTTGCTATGCGAAGTGCAGTCACTTAGTTGTCAAGCACAGCTGTGGGTTTTCCCCCTCCCTTTCTGTCCCTCCACCTCTCCACAGAGGAACCTCTTTGGAGCTTTGGCGTAGCAGCTGTTTGGTTCAGGTCTTTTCAGCATCAAGCCTCCAATCCCTCCCCCATGCACCCAGAGGTCTGCTCTGTGGAATCATCCACATACTGTCTACATTGCCCCACACAATACTGTTTCAGATGGCAGGGCCAGCCTGCCTCTCTGAGTGTCTCTCAGCCAAGTTTGAGCGTATGTGTGTACTGAATGGGATTAGCCTTTGCATGGCTTTACCCAAGTTGCTCTACTCTGAATGAGAGGCCCCCTCATTTACATATATTAGGCATATGTTTTGCCCACTCATATGCAGCACCTAACCTCCACTCAGATTATACAGTATACAGGTGTGTTATATGTGTGTAGCTGAGCGTGCATATTTGTGGTGCACAAGGATAAAGTCTTAATTAAATCAAACAGTGTAAACCTGTCCAATGGCTCTAATCAACTGCCCCAGTGCGCCTTATCTAGCCCTGCCAACGGATGCTCTGCCATCTGTTATGTAGATCGATACACTCACACATCACAGGAGAAATGGATTAGTGGCAATAAAGACCCTCTTTTCTCTCCCTCTCTCCCTCCCTTCCTCCATCGCCTTATGATGTAAATGGACCATATATTCCCCTTTCATATGCTCCTGGATCATGTCAATCTAGAACAGGCCTGCAGGAGTGTCACTGCACATCGTCTCACCAAACACCACCATATCTGACAGGATGGAGTCTTGACACATCAGAGTGCCTGTCACTGTCATACTGTAGAAAAACTACCCCATACTTCATCTGGATATAATCACTAAGTCCTACCCTTTTTCTACTGTTCCTCAGGTGCTCCACTGCTGTGTGTCTGGCTCCAACCTGCACACCCAACAGAGCCACTACCTCCTCAGCCTGTCAGATTTGTCCACTGACTATGACCTCATGTTGGGTCAGGTTAAGAGCTTCGAGCCACCCCCCTCCCAGATGACCACCACTGACTTTGGCAACCTGCTCACCGTTGCTGAGGGTAAGGACACAGAGCCATCCTGATTCCCCTTTTAATACCTGCTGTGTGTGAGATTGCACTGGGCTGGCAGATAAAATTATGATGCTGGATTTATGGGGTGGAGTATGTGTTCATGTTGCTGTATGTATGGATGCATAAGTATGAGAGAGTAAAAATGGCGGTTACTGGTGGCTGTCAGCTGTCGCGTTGAATCTTATCCCCAGGTGATATCTCTGATCACGCTACTTCATTTCAGCTCCATACAGTACTTCTGACAGAACACAGAGACGTATATACTCCCCCAAAAAATCTAAAAAATATTACAGGGAAAAGCAAACTCTAAGTAGCCCATCCATTTGGAGCCTCTCCATTAAATGTCAATATCTTATTAAAAGTATGAAAAGGAAATCAGCCATCACAGGGAAAGGAATGTTCGCATTAGTACTCAGCCCTAGAGAGAAGACCCATTATGGGGTTTAGATAAAAATGTGATTTTTTTCCTTCTTTTTTGTGACCTTGTGATTCCATTAGGCAATATATTCCTCTCTCTCCCTCATGTCCTCAACTTCAGAAAAGTCCTTAGAGCCGAAATGCACTTTGCATATGTCCACTGAAACAATGTAAGATATTTGAACAGTACCCTGTGTATGGAAAATTTCACCACACCTCTGCTTTTTGGTGCACAGCTGCACAGAGTCTTAGTAGAAATAACAAAACACTATCAAAAGGGCAAACCAAAGAGTGCCGGCCTAGTTATATTCATGCCCCCACCTCATATTGATCAAGTCACATCAAAGGGCCAGCGCATCTCTAATGCAGCTTGGCCTGCTTTCTAAAGAGCTTTCTCCACTTTGATGGGGGATGATGGTATTGATAGCACTGTCACAATGCAAGAGTGGATCTTCTTGTTTTTCCCACATCACTGCAGAATAAAGCACGGCATGCCTTTCACTTGGGAGTAAAAACCTGTGCATTTACATAAATGCAATTCACTAAGTAGAGTCCTATTAAGCAGCCTGTAAAGATGGTGGTTCTCATTAGCACTCAGCCAGTCTCAACGCTTGTCCATTGTAAGAAGACTCAATGGTCTTTTCAAAGTTGTCTCTCATGATTAGATGCTACCTATTTAGAGGTGTGCTGGCCAAGCTATTGTGAGAAATGAATAAAGTACCCCTATTAGTAATCATAAATGAGATTTGGCTTTGTATAAAAAGAGCCAACAGAGATGATAGCATGTCTACACACAAATGTGGGGCTTTTGAAATATAGCTCTGCGTTGCACAGATTATAAAAGATAGCCCCATGTGCTGCTTTATTCTAGACCCATCAGTAACTTTTACCATTGATCACTTTACTCTTTCTCACATGTGTTTTCCTTCAGAGATGGTCTCACTGTTTTTAATCTGCCTGCCCTTATTCTTCCACCAGAAAAGCGACGCCGGAACATGGAGCTGATTCCCCTGACATCACGGATGGTCATGACACACCTGGTGAACCATCTGGGCCATCATCCACTGAGCGGCGGACCAGCCCTTCTGCATAGCCTTGTGAGCGAAAATCACGACAACCCGTATGTGGAGTCATCCGAGCTGTCCTCCGAGGTCTTCAAAAGCCCCAACCTGCAGCTGTTTGTCTTCAATGACAGCACGCTGGTGTCCTACCTGCAGATCCCCGCCGAGACCCCCACTGTCGGACAGCCCCCCCAGCCTTCCTCCCAAGTGCGTGTCATTGTCCGGGATATCTCAGGAAAATACTCATGGGATGGCTCAATCCTCTACTGCACCACCCAGGAAGACTCTGTTGATTCAGGAGTTTTTAATGCAGTTGACCGCCCTCTTTCTACCACCACTACTGTCGATCCCAGCAGAAATCAGCCCAACTCTCCAACTAAGGGGCCGTACAAAAATCATTGCTCAGTCTCAGACTCCCTCTCTGACTGTTGCGAGGAGGAAGAGGTAGATATTCTGGATAAGCTTTTGGAAGACCTGGGCCAGTGCAGCCCAGAATGCCTGCCCCAACCACAACTTAGGCTCAACCAGCCAGCCCCCTCACCCCATGGCATGAACCTAGAGCAAGAGAGCGCCATCCTGGAGGCCATTCTGCGTCAGACTCAGCAGGAGGAGGAACAAGTGAGGAGGTGGGATGCTGATGTAAGCTTTCGGGCTGCCTGCCAGAGGGAACCCTCCCACCAGGAACCAAAAGCCCCTTTCTACTTCTGCCGGCTGCTGCTTAATGACCTTGGCATGAACTCTTGGGACCGCAGGTACACTACCAACTAAAATTGGCTACAATCATTGGTCTGGTTTGCACTATACTAGACTAGAAGAAAGTGAGGTTGTAAGAAGTCATACAGGGGGCTGTCGCTTATTTGTTTCTCAGTTTACTTTTCATCTTTTGGTCTACAAACCACATCTTAAATGTAGGCAGTATGACAGAAAAAAGAGAACACCAAATTGTGTTATAACCTCTGCATCCTAATACTATTTTTTAACCCAAGTTACTTCATCCTCAAAGTAACTCAGCTGTTGGCTCGTTACTCAAAGAGAGAAAGAGCAAAGTTAAAAGCACACTGGAGTCTGGAGTGTCTTAATCTCCTCTCCACAGGGTAAAAGTGCCCAGCTGTTTTCACTAAGGTCTACCTTGCAGAGCCACATCTTTGCAGTGCTTCCCCGTAAATTAAAAGCTTACACCTCTTAATGGTGATGGTGCAACGTGCACACGGCTAGTAGGAGATTGCTGTTTGCACCTGTGCCTTTTTTGCCTTTGTTAATCTTGACTGCACAATAAAACTTTGCTTGAAAATTGTTTTGTTTTTTTGATAGTATGCTAGTAGATTATAGAATCTTTTTCAAATGCTTGTTCATTGTTGCCAGCGTGGCATGGTTTCCTGAATTGTGTTTTATATACGGAGTAGGAAATATCATGTCTAATCAAGACTGTTTTTTTTGTCAAACAGGAAAAGTTTCCATTTGTTGAAGAAAAACTCCAAACTCTTAAGGGAATTGAAGAACCTGGATTCCAGGCAGTGGTAATGCCTTTATGAGTTCAATCTGGAATTGTATATCATGTTTTGTCTTGTAACTAGGTTTGTCTGAGATACCAGTGAACACAGATTTAATTTAGTACTTTCTGCTAATGTTACTGCTGCCTATGGTAAACCTGGCTTTACATAAATCACAACGCTCAAAGCAGCATCATATTGCCCGTCACTCCATTCCTCCACCATGATTTTTCTAATTTGTATAATCTCCTGCAGATCACAGCCCTGGAAGTCTACCACTTTCACTCTTGCTGTCCTCTTACTGTGTCTCTCTTAGTCCAATCAATAAGTCCTCCACACATCGCTAATGACAGGAGCGTATTAAATAATTCCCTCAGGATTGGACTTCATTCTCCCAGATGGCCAGACTTGGTTGGGAAACCTGTGCGCAAGCATGCAAAGTGCCCTAAATCTACCCAAGCATGATGCACTGCCATGGCAACAGGGACAGTAGAGTGGGGAAATTGCACACAAACTTAGTCTTTTCGCATTTTGCTCTCCTGTTTTTATTCAACAACTCAGTAACACTTATACAATTTATCTTTATAAGCAAGCTGTAGTGTTTCCGTAATTGCATGCACATAGTGTAGTAGTTTCATGTAATTGGATGCTGTGTTTGTTGTTCTTTTGATATTGGCTACCGTATGTTTTGTTCTGTAGTCGAGAGACACACAAGATTGCTGTGTTCTACATTGGAGAGGGCCAAGAGGACAAGTGCTCCATCTTGTCTAACAGCGCAGGCAGCCAAGCCTATGAAGACTTTGTCTCTGGACTGGGATGGGAGGTGCAGACAACCACACCCTCAAATCAACACACCCTCTGTATCCACGGATGCAACCTAAATATGCGCACACAGTTTTACAGGCACACTTAGAACAAACTAAATTGTACATGTATTTCTCAGGTGGACTTGGCCACACACTGTGGCTTTATGGGTGGCCTCCAGAGGAATGGCAGTACAGGTCTAACGGCTCCTTACTATGCTACCTCCACTGTGGAAGCCATCTTCCACGTGTCAACTCGTATGCCATCTGATTCTGATGACAGCCTCACCAAAAAGGTAAAAAGGCCTATAATATGATGCATTTAGTCAATTCCTGCCTGTCCATGACATTTGGATTAACACAACATGCATTGTATTAATTGGAAACCTCAAGTCCACAGTATGTCAAGAAAAATGACTGCTTTGCCTGTTTCATTCAGTGAAATGGCTACACAGTCCTGCCTGCCCATAGCAGTATGTTATTGTAGCCTTCATCTCTGTGTTAAGCTGTGATCAGGAGGTGTGACTCCAGAGTGCGGGCATTGATTAGTGACCCCAGCCAGGCAGGCCTGAGGAGTAGAGAGTCGCAGGCGCGTGAGTGAAGAGAGGGCATGTGCTGCGGCAGTAATGACTATGATTCTGCTAGCCCCTGCCCCCCTCCCTGTGTGCTGTGACCAGGGCCTGGATTCAGCCATTAGCTCTCCCTGCTAGGGCAGGCGCCGGCCGGATGCCGGCAGGATCCTTTTATCCAATTCCTGCTGCCGCCACAGGAGCGATCGATTGGGTTCTGCAGTGGGATTCTGAGCTGTAGTGCACCAGTAGCAGTTAGCACGAAGAAATGAGCCGCAAGGCCCCTGCCCGTGCTGCCAATCTTCTCATACAGTACCCTGCTGAGAAGGGAAATTCATCAGTCTCTCCTCATATCCATCCCCCGTCCAGTCCTCCAAAGATCTCCCCCTCTCTGTTTCACAAATAACCCCCTACTCTTCCAAACCCATCTTGAACCTGTGCTTAGTGACTTCAAAAATTAGTTAGACTGAGTAAAGATTTTGACTGGTTGGCCAGAGTGAGGCGCTGGAGGGGCTGCCATGCCGGTTCATTTCACTGGGAACTTCTGTAATTGCTGATGCTCACCTTGCACAGATCTCCACACCAGCAACAGGCCGCAGAGAAATTTGGCTGGCTTGTTGCAGGCATGGATGCTTCAGAAAAGATTGGGGGGCAGAGGGAAAAGAAAGTGGTATGAAGAATTGGAATGAGGAACGGGCTTTATCTGTGTCCAAGTAGGATGTTTCCCTGTCAATTTAAAAATAACACTTTTAGTCCAGCAGTCACCCACTTCACTGCCTGTAACCATAGAGGCATACTGTGGGAGAGAGACGGATGGGGGAGCTCTCACTGGGCAGATTGCCTGTTTGAAGACGATGGAGGGGGAAAAAAAAGGCTGAAGAAAAAAGGGAAAACCATGAATTCCTCAATCCAATTGTGGGTTTTAGGGCAGTGCAGGCTGCAGCAGTAGCAGCTGGCTTTAGTAATGCGGTTATAGAAGTGACCTGCAGGGTTGGGGTCAGGCCATGTAGACTGCATGCGTGTGTGTATGTGTGTCTGTGAAAGAGAGGGAGATAGACGGGTGCCTTGGCTATCACATTCACCCCCAGGCACCACAGCTTAACTGTGCTGCTGCAGGTTGTTTTTATAAGGAGGCTCTTGTGTTCTTGGGTCTTCTGGTCTCCTGTCTCCATGTGTGTGAAGCCTATTTGCTGGGTGGGAGGTCAAAGAGGGCTAATTGGACAAGAGCCTTTGACTTGAATCACATTTTATTAAAGAAGTCTCAAACATTTGGATGTGATTAACAAGGGAGTAAATAGTTTGGTGCAGAAGATGATTGACTAGAGCATAAGCATCCTCATTAAACTTGTGATTAAGCTCATCCAAATGCTAATATCTTAACCCAAATTAACATCCCAGTGTTGATTGTCTACTGCAAATGCATATTCAACATTTTCTCTGAAATTGTCCCAGTGACTGACCTGGCTGGTACCTGCTGATCCTTGGACAGACAGACTGAACTGGCAAGCTCCCGTAATCAGCATGCCGTGGATTTGTTTAAGATTACCGTATTACCATAATTAAGGGCTCATAATAGAATGTGCTAATTGCATTTTTGGTGGCGAGGGCATGTTTCTTAATGGCTCATTAGGCCCACAGTACATTGGCAGATGTTTTCTTCTGAGTAGAGGCTCACTTTTCAGTGACCATGATACCCCAGAAAACATCACTGGACTACCAGCTAATAAGTGATCTACACTTGTCAGAGAATATAATGTAGTCGTGTCCATCTATTTTACTTGGGAAAGGGGAAAGCTGTTTACCTATTTCAAACTAGCCTCAGTCAATTTCCTGTCATTTAAGTGTATCTTCTTGCCCTGCCCAGTTTCATTTGTGTTTGTGAATAGAGTGGAAATGGGAAGCAATTTAATCTCTGATGGGCAAAGTTAATTGGATTTGAATTATTTGGTTTTGAAATGCTCAATTTTGTGCATTTTGTGTTTGCAATTTGAATTTGTAATGAAAAAGCTATAAAAAGAGTCAAAAGCAGAGCCCAGACCCCTATTTAAACTATTGTTTTCAAACAAAGTTTCTGATTGAGATGTAAGCAGTCATCTTGCTGTTGGACCTGCTGTATTTATGTTTTATCATTAGGATACACCAATACTGCTCATGACAGCATAAAACATTAAAGAAAATGTTGTTGTATACACTGATAAAACAGCACTTTATTAATGGGACCTCTACTGCTCATACCTCTTATACCATAGTTCGCTCGTCAGCCTTCCAGAGGTTATGCAGGCCTACAGTACTGACTGGATAAACCCAGAGATATGCCCCAATCTTACTAAAATTGTGTTCCTGTCATCATCACCATAGGGATGAAAATTACCTGCACTCGCCAGACACTTGATTAGACTGATTTTGTTTGTTTGGCAGCTGCGTCACCTGGGAAATGACGAGGTCCACATAGTGTGGTCAGAGCACACCAGGGACTACCGACGTGGTATCATCCCAACTGACTTTGGAGACGTGCTGATTATCATCTACCCGATGAAGAACCACATGTATTTCATCCAGATCATGAAGAAACCACAGGTAAACTGCTGCAGTCAGTGGATTTTGTTATGGACAACATGGGTCAACTCACTGGAAGTAGGAAGTTCAATTTATTATATGTTGTCGAACATTTCAATTAGCTTCCTTTTGTACTAAAATGATAAAGTCTCTTATTTTCCAGGTACAATAAGCAAAAAAAAACACATGCTCTTTCAGCACTGCATTAATTTCCAGTCTCTGTTCATGAGTTAAAGCAGTCCCTTCTTCTTGCTTCCTATTCAGACTTTGCTGTGAGTTTTATAGATGCTTTCTCCTGTTGTGGTTTCTATCTGAAGGCTCTCAGTTCCTCCTACTCCAGCAGTGCATTATTACCCACACTGTGGGTATGTGCTCTCAGAGATGGTTACTTTCCTTTCTTTGCTAGCTTTCATCTTGGCTGCTCTGTTGTACTACACTCGATGTGTGGCCTTCCAGAGGGTAGTGAAATTTCTTTCTCTGAGAATGTCTGGCTTCAGATGTTCAGTTACATCCACAGTATTTTATATAAACATTTTTCAGATGAAAAAATCTGTTTTGTATTATTGAATGTGAAGGCGTTGATTATCTTTAATTTTGTCTATGTTATACAGTTAAACAGTTAAGTATTTCTTTTTAGTGTATGACAATTTACTCAATAATACACAAAGACTAGTGTGCATTAGTTTTAAACACTTCAATGGTTGCAGATGGCTCACAAATTAGTGCGTAAAACATATTCTAGCTTCAACCCAGTAGAGGGTTTCTAAAGCCAAAGCACAGTTGGGAGATGAGGAGAGGCTGCCACTGCTCTAGCCCCCAACCCAACCACATCCAATGCAAGCCAGCAAGTCTTTCAAAAATTCTGTAACTTTAACCACTTCCACCTCCAAGAAACTCTACTCGGGTTGTTGATGTTAGTTCAAGAGTCAGCCCAGCTTTCTGGCGTATAATTAAGTTAATTGGTCTTTATATAAGTAAAATCCATTAATTGTATAATTTGACTGGTCATTATACTAGCTGAACTACCAAGTTGAAGACAGCAGGACCTTTTGGAGAGACTTTGACATTCACGTCAACTTCCAGGTCAACGACCATTGAGCTTCAGTGATTAAGGGCCCCCTTCCAATATGCATGAACAGACGCGTGTACCCACACACACTCACACGCTGCCGCTGAAATGCATATTGCCCCTTTGTATTTGTTCGGTAGCTCAATATGAGGGCATTGTTTAGTATTGATTGTCATTTTAATTTCATTTACCTAACATTGATTCGCATTAGATATGTGTGGTTGTCATGCAAAGTTAGGTAAAAATCCAATTTCAACTTGAACCCTTGCCCTAAACAGATGGAGAAACGGTTAAAAAAAAAAAAGAACAAAAAGATTTTTAATCAACCCTTTCTAATTTTTGGGCTCCTGCATATACATTGAAAGGACACTGATCAAATTAACTTGTGGAAGTTTTGATGCCTCATGTTCTTATTTTTTTGTCTTACTCTTTTTCCGTCTTAACTTCCCCAGGTTCCTTTCTTTGGGCCTCTGTTTAATGGCGCCATCATCACTGGGACGCTGCTGCCAAGCTTGGTGCGGGCCACCTGTATCAATGCCAGCAGAGCTGTCAAGTCCCGGCTGACTCTCTACCAGAGCTTGTATCCTTTACTCCTCATGCCTTCTGCTTCAATTACTGTTCACTATCCCGTACGGATATGGCTTATCAGAGGAATGCAACAATCTAAAAAAAATCAACCATTGTTTACCTATGCAGCTGAAATCAGAGAGTGTACATTTAGCAATATTTTGAGAATGATTTCATCAAATGTGTAACACCACTGAGCTCTCATTTTCAGCAGCACCAGTGGCCCATTTGGGTAAATTCATTGAGACATGTGGCGTGCTTGTCACGTCAGCCAACGTACACAGCTGAGTGCTGACACTGATCTTTATGGGCTGACTGATTTACATACAGCTATTAGACCGGGTCTGTTTCACAGCCTGGAGCATCATGGGAGGTTGTGTGGGGCTGTTTTGGGTAGGAACACAGATAATGTGTCATCATCTATCACTACCGTTTTATGGAGCGCAAGGAGAGCCAAAATAAGAGCACCCTCAACAAATGCGTACAAGTGCATACAGATACGAACGTGCACATACACACACGCACTCGTTCTCATCCCTCCACCCATCCATCCAACAGTGTGCCGTTAAGAGCCTGACTCCAGCTGTAGTTGTCAGTTGGTTTAAAGGTAGTGTAATCACCAATGGAGATGAATTAGCATGTGAATGCCAACAGCACAGAGTTGGGGGGGTTAAGAGGGGGGGCAGAGTTGGGATGGCCCCTGGAGGGGGAAACCTGATCTCCCTCAACGCCCCGCTCCTCCTTGGACAGCATGTACGGCACCGCCTCACCAGAACCACGCTGCCCCTCTGGCGGTTGCTATAGAAACCTCCCCCAAGGAGGTTTCATTTGGGTAGAAGATGTTTTTAAGACATTGACATATTTTGAAAAACAAGTTGTTGTTGTTTTTCAATTATTATTAAGTCCTTGTGTGATAGTCTTTGACAATAAAGGCCTTTGGTCTTTAATTACACTACAACACGCCCTGTGTATGTTGTTTACTGTTGGGTGTGTGAGTATGTGTCTGCCTGTATGCGTTTCACAGTGCATCACATCCCCTGCCCCACTCCCCCACCCGTATATCAGGCCTTGTCTGTGTGTCCCTGGGGGCATTCTGAGTGACAGATGTCTGTTACCCGACGCCAAGTGAATTAGCCCAGTGTGACTGTCAGTGCCGGGGGCCGCCGCAGGCCTGCCTGCCTCAGGGGGTGGGGGGTGGGTGGGACAGTACCGGGCCTGTGCTGGGCCACAAAAGCCTTACCTGGCATTCCTTAGCAGAGGAACAGACAGCACAAAGGCATGATCTATGAGAAGAGATAAGCGCTGCCTCTGGAGTTCTGGCACTGATAGGCTGCCAGGCCTCACACACTCCATGAGAGGAGATGAATGAATGTGCCAGGCAAAGCACACTGCCAGAATGAGTATCTGTATGTCTGTTTTTTCTTTCTGCTGTTTGTCTGTCTAGCCACAGAGCCTGTGAGGACAGAGCCAAAATGTTACATTTGGCCAATGCCATGTGAAATTGATAGAAAAAAAAAAAAAGTTTTTAGATTTTAAGAGAATTGAGATCACTTCATGTCCAGAAATGGCCTGAACCATAAACGAAACTAAGTCTTGAGTGGCAGGTGGAGTTACTCTTTTGTATGCTTTCATCATTGGATTTGCTGTTGTATTATACCAGCCTTTTTCACTTTTCCCTCTCCAGTTGTCATTCTTCCATCTTCTCAGGTTATGCGGCTCTTTATCTTTCACAGGTTGGAACAATGTCCCAACCTTTTTTTTCCCGGGATGTGTTTTTTGTGCAAGATGAAAATCCTCATCCTTAGGTTTACCCCTTCACAATGCCTTAACAATCCACAGTCCGCTCTCTGCCTGTGAGGCCACTCTCCTAGGTAATTAGTTGAATATTTCTTCAAAGAGAAGCTATATGACCCCTGTGTGTCCAGATAAAAGGCCAGTATGGCGCTGCGGCCCCCTCTGTCTGTCACAAGGCTCGAGAGGACTCCAGCAGTCTGCTGCAACGCTCACAGGATCTCTCAGGCTAATAGGATTTGATATTGAAAAATGACCACCAGCAACATTTTTAGAAAACACACACACACAGATTGGCTACAGGAGTGTTTTTCAGATAGATGCTCCACCTTGCTGTTTTTCTGTCTTTCTCCGCATTCTCCCTGTCTTTTATTTCCCTCCATCTCTGATTTGTGAGGATTTTTGAAATCTGTGTAGTTGTTTTCTTGTAGTGTCCAGCATTGTCAGTTAGAATTTGTGTCAAGTCCTTTTGTCAAGACACAACCATGGCCTCATAGACATTTTATCAGAAGCCTCTCACAGACAACTCATAATGTATCATCTATTATTTATATGCCTGATGGAAAATGCAGCTGGTCTGGCTTTGTGTGTTCTAAGAGTATTGTCTGCAACTAGTCCACCCTTCACAGCTGCATTTGGAATAATGTTGACCACAACATGTTCAATCTAAAACAACTTAAGTTTTTATTAAAGCACAGTTCCTTTTATTGAATCATCAGCAGAATAAGTGAATCACGTTTTGTTCCTCTATTAATGGTACTTATTATTGCATGCACACAGTCTATAACAGATTGGGTTGAAGGAGGCAATGAGTTTGTTGTGTCACCTGAACCCAGAGTGTCACTACATGGGTTTGCTGTCTGCTGCCATTAACTGTATGATGAAGATCCTTCATACTGTCACTGTAGAATAATGTCTTCATCCAGAAGCCGGGATTCATTTCTCTCTTCAACAAGCACTTGAGTTTGATGTGCCGTCCATCACTCTTTGTGATGGGGGTATTGTTAAGGGCAAAAACTGTGTGTGTGTGTGTGTGTGTGTGTGTGTGTGTGTGTGTGTGTGTGTGTGTGTGTGTGTGTGTGTGTGTGTGTGTGTGTGTGTGTGTGTGTGTGTGTGTGTGTGTGTGTGTGTGTGTGTGTGTGTGTGTGTGTGTGTGTGTGTGTGTGTGTGTGTGTGTGTGTGTGTGTTGGAGAGAAGGCAAGTTTCTAATAGGTGAGACAGTGCGGAACTGACCTTGATTCAGAGACATAGCCTCTCTACTGGACAGAATCAATAGTTTTTGCACACTGCCCTTAGTCCCCATCCTCTGTTCTGACACACACATAAACACACACACTCGCACACACACAGATCCATCTCCAGGCAGCGATCAATAACCATAATCTGTTTCTGCCCATCGCCAGTCATGCGAGCCAGGCTTTTAGGTGGTACGTGTGTGTGTGTGTGCCTGTATCTGTGTGCAGTAGCAGAAAGAAGGGGGGGTGGGGGCTTGATCCTTCCAGTGGAACCCAGAAAGCTGCTGAAGTCTGTCATGTTCCCTCAAAGGCTCATATGAGCATATCTACAGTCCCCCAGCTCCACTGAATGCCAAAACGAGATGTACATAATTTCAATAGATGTATACTGAAAACATAATGGATATGATATCCTGTATGCACTCCTTTGTGTGCTGCTGCTGCCCCCCTCCAGACGCCATCATAATTATTACAGTCACTGCATTGACAATGACATATTCTCACACCCCTTCTGAGCAAGTTATTGTCCCACTCTCACTGTGTCTTTGTCCAACGGCAGTGCGTTCTTTTGTATACTGTAAGATTCCTCACCTAGCGGAGATGAAAGTGCGCCTGTATGCATGATAGGATGTCATGAATAGGATCTGCCATGTTAGTGTTGTCTCACATGAATTATTTAGCATCGTTGATAGGTCTAATTTGCCAGCTGTTGTGCCATAACTGTCGGCAGTCTCATAGATAATACTCAGCAGTCTATATCACTGTGGAACACAGTGCTTGACTGGGCACAGTGAGACGCCAAGCTAGTCATTATATGCTGGATTCATGGTCTGAGCTGATGTGAGTATAACTAGCCAACTTCCTGTTTATGGAAAACAGGGCTGACCAACAAAACGCTCTTATAAAAATATAGTAATTTGTAATATTCCAGGAAAAAAAGTCTTAAGAAATCACCTTGACTTGTTGTGCAATGTATATTAAGTGTCTAGTAGTGTTTCCTTAATATTGGATGCAAGCCTTTTGGTTGGAGGCAGTTGGATATTGGGTGGGTAGGTAGTTCGGAGTTGGGTTAGGGGCCGTTTCTGAGTTGAAGGGTCCCTGCTTAGAGTTGGCCAGAGTGATTTGAGTGGAGGCTGGCATTGGCTTTGATAGAGCAGTTGAGAGTTTACGCAGTATTTGAGGGGCTACACAGAGAGGAGGGGTCTCTCCCCCACTGAATGTTTTAACCTAATCCCATTATCAGTGTAGCGCACTGCCTCCCATCTCTTCCCCCTCCTTATCCCTACCCCCTCCCACCTTTCTCTCCAGCTGACCAGCTGTTCCTGCCGGGACTCACGACAATGTCCGATGTGTTCAGATCACTGGGTAACCCCCCCCCCCATCACGCACACACACATATACACAGAGTGCAGTGCATGCACAACCAAAGCAATTGCCTAGCCTATTGCTGGAGCCTAGGAAGGCCTAGAGGGAAGAGTGTGTTAGTTAGGGGAGAAGGGGGTAGCATTGGGGGTGAGGAGGGGGCAAGCACAGGCCTGTCAAACCAAGAGCCCTGACTCAGGAGGCAGCCCAGCTCGGATGGCATATGGCGTCTAGCTTCATACAACATGCAAAAGTATTCTCTTTATCCACTCCCCCCTCTCCCTGTCTCCCTCCCCTGCTGCTAATGCAGAATGACTCATAGCATTACTCATTTTTTTTCCCTCCGTTCCCCTACCTCCCCCCACATCAGTTCCTCCTCCTCTTGCCACCCAGCCTGTAACAAAAGGCGTCCGCTGCATGGCACCCACACCCTGAAAGCCCTGGGGGCCCAGCCCAGCCCAGCCCAGCCCAGCCTACACTCTGAGGCCTGAGCATCATGGGGGCCGCCCCTTTTAAACACAGGTAGAGCAGGCGTGGAACCAGACGGCCAACAGCAGGGACCCAGAGCCCCGCCTGGGGTAGCGTACATACACTGCTGGTGTCAAACTGTTGTGCCTGTTGGTTG